ACTTCTTCTTCGGCCGCGTGACCACGTGAGTAATACATGCGCGTAAATAACACAAATAGTAGTAACATCTTCCCAAAATTCCTAGGTTCAAGACAGAATGTACGAGGGCAGCTTGGATTAATCAAAAGAAGCAAGCCAGCATTCCTTGATGTCACACAACCAAGAAAGATATACTTGTCTCAGAATCTATCCAAGCTCTTTGAAAGACTCTTGATCAACTTGGGTAAGATGATGCTCCGCCACCTAGCTGCCTGTTCTCCCACCACCCAGATATACTTCAGTCTTAGAATGTATCCAAACTCTTTGAAAAAAATGATGTGGTTGAGACTGCTCTTGGTTCTCCACATTCCAGATTGTCTACCTTCACAGTTTGTTATAGATCTCCTTATATGGCGCGATGGAAAGTCAGTTTTATGTAGCTCCAGGCAAGTCAGCAATGGAATGTCTATAACATACTCAGAACTGGCATGACAGCCCAGTGGAAACACACCGATATCTACCCCAAAGCCATTTAGTGATGGGTGTCAGTATTCAGATAAATTCGTAACGCTATGATTTATGAACGTGATCAATACATTCTACTTACACCGCTTAAACATATCTCCATAATTCAAACTCCGTTCATGTATGGGAGACAGATAGTCATAGTTTGCATAAGATGCCACTATATACACTCGTAAAAAACAAAACGCACAGGTAGATTTTTAGTAAGTTTATTGTATCTAATCAAGTCGATATGTTTAATTTATTATCATAGATACAAATAAGAAAGTTTGGAGCTCGATAGTCATATGTTGTCGTGGTACTGAAAACTTTCATTGTCATGTCATATAAGGACACAAGGCATCTCGTGTGACCGCCCCGGGCAGCAATCACGGCTCTGCATCTCCTCGGCACTGACTGGATACGAATTCTTTCCTCGGAATTCTTTGCCATTCACCTTGTAACGCGTTGATGTACACGTCGATCGAGTTCATTCCAGAGGTGTTCGATTGGGTTGAGATCTGGAGATCTCGACGGCCAGGGCAAAGCGTTGATGCTGGCATTATGAAAGTAGTCTACCGCAACACGAGCCCTGTGCGGTAGAGCCTTGTCCTGTTGAAACAGCTCCCTCTGGCGGTCAATGATTGGAAGAAGTTGATATGATTCATGTAGCAATTGCTGTCAAATGTCTCTGAACCACAACCACGTCAGATCTCGTGGTGTAGGATATGGCCCACCATACCATAACACTACCGCCACCGAAATTGTCGAATTCACGTACACAATGTGGGGCAAAACGCTCATTTCGACGACGATGAACACGTTGTCTTCCATTTCGCCGGTGAGAAAGAAATCGTGTTAAATCGCTAGACCACGCCCGTCTCCAGTTTCTCAAATTCCAAGGCTGTAGTGAGTGAGTGAGTGAGTATGGTTTTACGCCGCTTTTAGCAATATTCCAGCAATATCACGGCGGGGGACACCAGAAATGGGCTTCACACATTGAACCCATGTCGGGAATCGAACCCGGGTCTTCGGCGTGACGAGCGAACGCTTTAACTAAGCTACCCGACCGCCCCTCCAAGGCTGTAGAGTAGGGCACCAACGGAAGCGTCGCTGCCGATGGGTATTTTGCAAAACAGGGACGATAATTGGTCTTCTGGGTCGGATTCCAGCCTCGCGAAGATGGTTCCTGACAGTCTGGTCCCATATCCTCCTCAAACCAGGGCTCCGTAGCTGTGGCATTGCGATGACGTAGGTAGAACAGTCGCGTGAAGCGATCCTGTGCAGGGGTCGGCCGGTTCTCGGACGGTCTGCAGTGGAATTCATCTATGTGTATAGGTCACAAAGGCATAAAATCGTGCTGTGGTGGACGTTGAAGTGGCGTGCAACAGAAGACTGCGATTCCGCTGTTTCGATACGTCCTATGGCGATGTTCCGATCGGCAGCGCTGAGGTTGGCATTTTCGAACTTGAAACATGTTGACAATTGAATGACAAATGATTGGCTTATGCTTGCTTTTTTTTTAGCCACTACCACGAGTTACTTGCACGTGCATTTTGCTTAACTGTTTTCCTCCATGACATTTTTGAACAAGTGTGAAAACAATGCCGTTTGAGACATTGCAAATCGACAATGGCTGCGTTTTGACGCACGGTTTGTCGAAGATGAGGCCACCAACATTTTCCAATAACATCTATCAAATTTATATACAGGATTTTTGTGTAGTCATGGTTAATGATCAACATACTACCTGTGCATTTCTTTTTTGGAAGAGTGTAGGTGTTCACTACCTTATCAACAGTTTGATGTGGACCTTATTTTTTTCTGCAATATCACGAGTTTGATTTAACACGTGGACACAAAAAAGGGAAATATGAAGACACAGCTCAATACTTTTCGAGTTCACAATATTGTTACGTGTCGATTCCTATATTGATTCCTACAGTATGTTAACCCAGAAATCATGAACTTTGTGTGAAACCCACCAACAGCCAACAGGCGGTTTACAATCAACAAATGCATTACACAATTCACTAAATTTACAAATCAAGGCAAATAACAACACAACAATTACAATGGCAGTACACAATAGAATGGAAGTACATAATTCAATGACAGTGTTTAATATGATGGCAAAGGTCAGTATACAAATACAGTGGTGATAACAAAATTTAGTGATAATACTATATTCAACCAGCGGCGACAGTTTTAAAGCTTCCTAGATGAGCCAAGGCAGTGAATCCGGGGTGATGAATGATCTCCACATGAAAGCTGGTCTTGATGCAATGAAATGTGTGAGAAATACGAGAGGTGCGCTCTTGTCCTCTTATATACAGTCTAACCAGCTACAGTGCTCTCACAACATAAACTATTCTACACGTTTCTCTATCACAGTTCATGGTATTCCGGAAGTTTACATCTCACACTAGCATCTAAATATAGTAAGTTCTTTAAAACTGCTAACATTAAATACTACTACTTTCCTGAGATCTAATTATTGTCCAAATACAATGCAATGAGCTTCTACCGAATCTCAACAGAAACAATGAAATACAGTTCCAGTCAAGGTTTAACAAGAAAATACACTTCCATATAACAATAAGTATAATTCACACAAGTTGGACGTAAGACACCTTGAAGACTCAGGTTAGAATTTGTCTTTAGCAACACATGCTTGTCATAAGAGGCGACTAACGGTATCGCGTGGTCAGACTCGCAGACTTGGTTGATGCATGAAATTGAATCGCAAGTGCGCAGATGGATGCTAATGTCGAGGTAGGGTGCTTTCCCCTTGGTGATAAGAAACCCAGATAGTCTTCTTCAGTGTGTTTCAGATGTCCTTATATGGCTGAACGGAAACACTTTGATAAGTACCTCGAGACCAGTCAGGAAAATCTATCGTCTATGCTATATTAAGCACTTGTATGAGAGCTTATTGGATGGTTCAGTGAAAACACTATGGTATGAGTCCACACGTCTTGAATTTTCCACTTAAATACATAATACATACGCCATTATTGCACGGGAGACAGATTGGATATTTCAAAATGAGCCACTTTCTCGGTGTTTACTCTATTATTCAAAGCATCCCAGTTAGTATCTGCTAAGAGTATGATACGGATGATGAATAAATGATGTTTGCTGAAACGTTTCCAAAAGTCAACTTTCTCTTTACGTCGAGCAATATTGCAGCTGCTTCAGCATTTCAAAACTTTTGAGGTACTTGAGAATGTTCTACGAATATTTCAAAGAGCGTCATATAACCCTTGCTCAAAAGTTCTTTAGATCAGGGTTACAACATTCAAGGCCTCAGTAAAGCTTTCAAAAGTCTGATGGTAGACACGTGGAGGACATTTCAAATATGACGCAGGATACCACCACCTGAATTCATAAACACATGCTTATAATGTAGTCGGAATCGTATTATGGACTCTGTTTTGGGCAGAGGTTTATCGGTTTTTGTTTACACACATGGAGTTTCTTTAACTGTGACTTGTCACTCAAAGGATATAAGTGATCATTCAAGAACATGACCGTGTTTCACAAATGGCAGTCTCTGTGTAGATGTAAAGACGGGTTAAATTGCATGCCTCTAAATTGGTGTTCAAATGAGCGATGTGCGATATCATTAGGTGAGTTCTTCCTGCTGTGTTTGGATATAGGGTAGATCAACAACAAAACACATTGCCATATAATGATATAGGGTAGATCAACAACAAAACACATTGCCATATAATGATATAGAGTAGATCAACCACAAAACACATTGCCATATAATGATATAGGGTAGTTCAACAACAAAGCACATTGCCATATAATGATATAGGGTAGATCAACAAGAAAACACATTGCCATATAATGATATAGGGTAGATCAACAACAAAGCACATTGCCATATAATGATATAGGGTAGATCAACAACAAAACACATTGCCATATAATGATATGGCGGTCGGGTAGCCTAGTGGTAAAAGCGTTCGATCGCCACGCCGAAGACCCGGGTTCGATTCCCGACATGGGTACAATGTGTGAAGCCCATTTCTGGTGTCCCCCGCCGTAATATTGCTGGAATATTGCTAAAAGCGGCGTAAAACCATACTCACTCACATACTATATAAAAGCATGTGTTCTTCTCTGTTCTTGTATATTCATCACAAACTGAAATGTGCAATCGCATTAGACAGAAACGCTCAGGCGCTCGTTGCTTCAGTCTTTGGAAGCATGGTTGCAATTGTAATTGAGTAGGCGGAAAAAAGCTAGCGATATTTGTTTTTTGATGAAATTTGACATATCGTCTCAATTTGTGTTGGCATATGCGGTCATAGGGTCTTTGAGCAGGATTACGCACTACCCGTATTCCTTGGTAATGCTTAGGGGTGTGCATCCTCAGCGAGTCGTGTTGTAACCAACGAAAGACAGTAACACATGGCAAGCTACCACTAATTATGTAACTGACATAAAAAGATCAAAGTTCACAGTTATTTATAATTAAAATGAGGTCAAGTGATGTTGAATAGATGCGCGTGATAGACCAGGAAGGTGACTGTGTGATGTCAGTTTCGTCAAGTCGTTCTCCAACAGCGAAGGTATGTAACAGCTTGTCCCGTTGTGTTTCTTGGGCAGAGATGTAAACCGCATGTCCCCATGCGTTCTAACATATTTATTATATGTATAAATTGTAATTATTATTTGTTTTATAAACAGAAAAAATGGTATTTTAATTTCAAACGAATATCCATATGTTGTAGCGCTCTTTTCAGTTGCACATTTTTGTTAATGCTCTTGAACCGTTTGTGATAGTACTGGGATGAATGTAGGTGAGGTGAGGTGAAATTGGGTTTAACGTCGCGTCCAAGATTATTGCACTTACATAGCGACGTGCATGCACGTGTGTGTTTGTGTGTGGCTGCTTGTACTAGGCCGGACTGATGCCGATTATAGTACTAGCTCACTGAGATACCATGCCGCAGTTTAACATGAATACCCCACTCAGACACAGTATACTGACTCCGAGCCGACCAGTCCTTGTTTTAGCCCCTTAATGCGGAGCGCAAGACAGGGTCACAACAAGTACCATCTTTTAACGTCTTTTGGTATATATAATTATTAACTCCTCGGCCTCGAAGGGTTGGATTTTTTTATCAACTCTTATTTATAAATATAATATCATAACGCACTCGGGATAAATTTTGTATTTATTAAAGCCTGATCTCTACCATTATTAACGAGGAGCGGTGGGGTAGCATTGTGGTTAAAGTGCTTTTGGTATGAATGCAAATCAAAGTGAAACCAAAATAATGACATTCCTCTTCGCGAATATAGGAAGTGATATATCAAGAACAAAATGTGTATAGAAATTTATGTGTGTTTGTTTCCTGTTTATTCTCTGGAATCCACCACATGTTTGTTTCACTGTTCAAGCGCATAATGTATACATGTCCCTGCATCATTATCATCAAAGGAAATATGGAAATATTACAATATACCGTATTCGACGTAATAAGCGCCCCGCTCCAATAAGCGCCCACGGCGATATTTGCTAATATATTGGCTAGTGAACAATCCCAATTAGCACCCCTTCCGATTGATCAATGTTCACAAGACTTTTTTGTTCGTGTATAATACGCACTCGTGTGTTATATGCACCCTTAATTATGGCCAATTAAATTCTGGAAATATATATCTGTCGTATATAAACATTTCAGGCTGTCAGCATAAACCACGAACTTTCAACTCTGTTTTTTTTCACCAAAATAATATTCTAAGAAGAGCCCCCTATTTCTAATTTTGAGACCGCCCTGGGTGCCTATGACGTCGAATACGGTATGTACATTTGTTATAAGGTAGGTGTACCTAAATTGTACCTTGTGCCTAAATGCTGAATATATTCTGTTTATCCGCCTGGTAATTGGCATGTCGATCCGTGTTGGGTGCAGAGGGTGTGTGCATTTTAAATGTGTCTCGATAAATATACCAATATGTCCCAATTAAAAATGTAATGTTTTCCTTAACTTCACTGTTGAAGACATTTAGTAACTTTTCTTTTCAGATGTTCTGTTCTAAACCGAGAAGGTTATTGGTGTATGGAACCGTGCTGCTGTGTCTGGTGGTGATATTGCCATGTTGTACGTAATGTAACGTTCTTTATTGGAATGCCTTCTATCAATTTTATATGCAAAAATTAGTTTATATTTCATGTTAGGATATTTTTCACTTAATTATATACTTTAAAACCATTTAAACAAATATCAACGACAGCATGACATTGAAGTACATGTATGTCAGTAATACAAAAGAATAAACATGTTTACAAAGAACAGAAACACAGCTACTTAAACAAGTCTGGTCAGGTCCACACAGAACAGGGACACCGTTATTTACACACTGTCTGGTCAGGTCCACACAGAACAGGGACACCGTTATTTACACACTGTCTGGTCAGGTCCACACAGAACAGGGACACCGTTATTTACACACTGTCTCGTCATGTCTACACAGAACAGGGACACAGTTATTTATACACTGTCTGGTCAGGTCCACACAGAACAGGGACACTGTTATTTACACACTGTCTGGTCAGGTCCACACAGAACAGGGACACCGTTATTTACACACTGTCTGGTCATGTCCACACAGAACAGGGACACCGTTATTTACACACTGTCTGGTCAGGTCCACACAGAACAGGGACACCGTTATTTACACACTGTCTGGTCAGATCCACACAGAACAGGGACTCCGTTATTTACACACTGTCTGGTCATGTCCACACAGAACAGGGACACCGTTATTTACACACTGTCTGGTCAGGTCCACACAGAACAGGAACACCGTTATTTACACACTGTCTGGTCAGGTCCACACAGAACAGGAACACCGTTATTTACACACTGTCTCGTCATGTCCACACAGAACAGGGACACCGTTATTTACACACTGTCTCGTCATGTCTACACAGAACAGGGACACCGTTATTTACACACTGTCTGGTCAGGTCCACACAGAACAGGGACACCGTTATTTACACACTGTCTCGTCATGTCTACACAGAACAGGGACACCGTTATTTACACACTGTCTGGTCAGGTCCACACAGAACAGGGACACCGTTATTTACACACTGTCTGGCCATGTCTACACAGAACAGGGACACCGTTATTTATACACTGTCTGGTCAGGTCCACACAGAACAGGGACACCGTTATTTACACACTGTCTGGTCAGGTCCACACAGAACAACAGGGACACCGTTATTTATACACTGTCTGGTCAGGTCCACACAGAACAGGGACACCGTTATTTATACACTGTCTGGTCAGGTCCACACAGAACAGGGACACCGTTATTTATACACTGTCTGGTCAGGTCCACACAGAACAGGGACACCGTTATTTACACACTGTCTGGTCAGGTCCACACAGAACAGGGACACCGTTATTTACACACTGTCTCGTCATGTCTACACAGAACAGGGACACCGTTATTTACACACTGTCTGGTCATGTCTACACAGAACAGGGACACAGTTATTTACACACTGTCTGGTCATGTCCACACAGAACAGGGACACCGTTATTTATACACTGTCTGATCAGGTCCACACAGAACAGGGACACCGTTATTTACACACTGTCTCGTCATGTCTACACAGAACAGGGACACCGTTATTTACACACTGTCTGATCATGTCTACACAGAACAGGGACACCGTTATTTACACACTGTCTGGTCATGTCTACACAGAACAGGGACACTGTTATTTACACACTGTCTGGTCATGTCTACACAGAACAGGGACACAGTTATTTATACACTGTCTGGCCATGTCTACACAGAACAGGGACACCGTTATTTACACACTGTCTGGTCATGTCTACACAGAACAGGGACACCGTTATTTACACACTGTCTGGTCATGTCTACACAGAACAGGGACACAGTTATTTATACACTGTCTGGCCATGTCTACACAGAACAGGGACACCGTTATTTATACACTGTCTGGCCATGTCTACACAAAACAGGGACACTGTTATTTACACAATGTCTGGTCATGTTTACACAGAACAGGGACATTGTTATTTACACACTGTCTGATCATGTTTATACAGAACAGGGACACTCTTATTTACACACTGTCTTGTCATGTTGATACAGAACAGGGACACTGTTATTTACACACTGTCTGATCATGTTGATACAGAACAGGGACACTGCTATTTACACACTGTCTGTCGATGTTTATACAGAACAGGGACACTGCTATTTACACAATGTCTGGTCATGTTTATACAGAACAGGGACACTGCTATTTACACACTGTCTGTCCATGTTTATACAGAACAGGGACACTGCTATTTACACAATGTCTGGTCATGTTTATACAGAACAGGGACACTGCTATTTACATTATGTTTAACCATGTCTACATCGATTATGTACTATGCTATTTACACACTGTCTGGTCATGTCTACACAGAACAGGGACACTGTTAATTACACACTGTCTGATCATGTCTACACAGAACAGGGACACTGTTATTTACACACTGTCTGATCATGTCCACACAGAACAGGGACACTGCTATTTACACACTGTCTGACCATGTCTACACAGAACAGGGACACTGTTAATTACACACTATCTGATCATGTCTACACAGAACAGGGGCACTGCTATTTACACACTGTCTGACCATGTCTACACAGAACAGGGACACTGCTATTTACGCACTGTCTGATCATGTTTATACAGAACAGGGACACTGCTATCTACACACTTTCTGACCATGTCTACACAGAACAGGGACACTGCTATATACACAATGTCTGATTATGTTTATGCAGTACAGGGACACTGTTATGTACACACTGTCTGATCATGATTATACAGAACAGGGACACTGTTATTTACAAACTGTCTGATCATGTTTATACAGAACAGGGACACTGCTATTTACACACTGTCTGATCATGTCTACACAGAACAGGGACACTGTTAATTACCCACTGTCTGACAATGTCTACACAGAACAGGGGCACTGCTATTTACACACTGTCTGATCATGTTTATACAGAACAGGGACACTGTTAATTACACACTGTCTGACCATGTCTACACAGAACAGGGACACTGTTATTTACACACTGTCTGATCATGTTTATACAGAACAGGGACACTGTTAATTACACACTGTCTGACCATGTCTACACAGAACAGGGACACTGCTATTTACACACTGTCTGATCATGTTTATACAGAACAGGGACACTGCTATTTACACACTGTCTGATCATGTCTACACAGAACAGGGACACTGCTATTTACACACTGTCTGATCATGTTTATACAGAACAGGGACACTGCTATTTACATAATGTGTAACCATGTCTACATGGAATATGTACCCTGCTATTTCGTAATGTTTCACTATGTGTGCAATGAACAGAATCACCCCTCCGGTGTGTGTCCATGACTACCATGCCTACTATAACGACTTGCTGCAGGTGCTGGAGACTTCATTTGTCCCGAGGTCACGGAACTTGGCTCCCCTGTCAATCTGACGTGTATTCAAGCAAGCGGCACACGTGCTCATTCCTACTCAACTCCCAGTGGAACTACTGCTGCGTCTTGTCATTTGTCAGACAGAAAATGCATACCACTTGGTGATTTTTCAGCATCTGTCCTGAATGAGTCCTGCAGTGTCCTCGCTATACCACACCTACTGCAGACACACGCTGGTGACTGGAAATGTGTTGTAGATGCAAATGACCCAGACCCAGAGACGTGTCATATAAGTGTTGAAAGTAAGCAGTCTGTTATCATTAACGGATATTTCCGATCAATTATCACTCTCATGACGTCTCCATCTTCACCGTAATTCCATTGAATGATGGCAAGTTTCCAATGTTAATGTTAAACTGTACCAGGTCAAATGTGTTGGAGATGTTGCTGGGGGCACGGGTGGCCCAGTCGTCAAACGAGCGGCGTTTCGCTGTGCAGAGTTGCATCCCTTAGGCACGCCAGAAACCTATGATTGAGGGTTCGAATCCCGTTTCGCCCCGGTTATGTTTCTTGGTTTGTCAGCTCCATACCCGTGCTCGTGGGTTTCACCGAAGTGGTAAACGTCTGAGACCTGCATCACTTCGGGCTTTCCTCCCATATTAAGCTGATACGCCGTGATATAATTGGAATATTGTTAAAAGCGGCGTTAACCCAACTCACTCACTCACTCACTCACTGGAGATGTTGTGAAGTAGTTGTACACATTGTACATAACGCCTAACTGTAAACTTTAATACTTCCAGAAACATTTGTAAAGATATCTGTATTGCACCAACCCCTTGCTTGAAGACCCTCATAAGCAATATACGAAATGAAATGTCCCATTTCAAATTGCAAAGCAATTATTCCGTATACAGTAAAACATATCTAACCTAGCTACAATGGAAATATACAAGAGCTGACATCTGGACCCCAGTCAGCGTAATCCTAGATCCCCCACACGTGTCCACCCGTCTCGAATTTAAGTCATGTCAAAGTATGTATTTTTTCAGAGAGTCCATCATGTCGTATACTGAGCCACAACAACATGAGAACACACCGAGTTGGTGAAGAACTATCACTGACAGTCAACGTGACGGGATATTACTGCTCTGAGTCTGTCCTCGTTCAACTGAAGACGGGCGATATCACAAGTTCTCTTCTCAATGAAACCGTTACCATGGTGAAGGACAGCACTGTCAATATAACATTTAACATGACAGCATCCCACTTTGGCGACGTGGTCCTTGTATTTTCCTGTGGCAGCAACAGTCGGCACGTGCTCTGTGAGGGACTACAGGCGCTGGATCAGAGTAAGAGTCAATACTACACATTCAGACGATGTAGATGTACATATCGACAGAATTAACAGATAATCAATATGTCATATCTTTTAGTTTTGTAATTTAAACAGAGCTAGTGTATGTACAAACGTCATGAACGTTTCAGTAAGCCATGTTAGGCCTTTAATGGGTATAATATAAACACAAACACTCCTTTAATCTCATTAAAAGACAAAGGGGTAGAATAGGTCTTCAGCAACCCATGCTTGTCGTAAAAGGCGACTACCGGGATCGGGTGGTCAGGCTCGCTGACTTGGTTGATGTATGTCATCGATCTCAATTGCGTGGATCGGTGTTCATGATGTCAATCACTGGATTGTCTGGTCCAGACTAGACTATTTACAGACCGCCGTTATATAGCTGGAATAATGCTGAGTGCGGCGTAAAAGAAACCAACCAACCAACCATTAAGAAAAACAACACACGTTTCTTTGTGTAAAGTCATACATCAGTTTCACTTTACCGTATTTTGTACTGTGTACTTAACCAGCCTTATGACCGTCCCGCAGGTATTTCTACAGTTCCAACCACCCAAACAGCCGTCACAAACAGAACCACAACGCAGAGAGCGTCATCTGATGATGATCAAACAACTGTCGTCATTGTGGTGATTTGTGTCATTACAATCATCATCCTGATGATCATCCTAGTATTTTTGTGGAGGAGACTATGGATCAACAAGACGTCTCAATCATCAAAGAAGTATGTTGACGTTCACTACGTGTCGAAAGAAGAGTACGAAGATGCTGGGAGGACCAAGCGCGAGGCAGACCCTCGGGTAGACGAAGATGCTGGGAGGACCAAGCGCGAGGCAGACCCTCGGGTAGATGAAGATGCTGGGAAGGCCTAGCACGAGGCCGACCCTCAGGTAGACGAAGATGCTGGGAGGACCAAGCGCGAGGCAGACCCTCGGGTAGATGAAGATGCTGGGAAGGCCTAGCGCGAGGCAGACCCTCGGGTAGACGAAGATGCTGGGAGAACCAAGCGCGAGGCAGACCCTCGGGTAGACGAAGATGCTGGGAGAACCAAGCGCGAGGCAGACCCTCGGGTAGACGAAGATGCTGGGAAGGCCTAGCACGAGGCCGACCCTCAGGTAGACAGGGATGCTGAGGGTTAGAAAGACGTAAAAGCAGCAAACCCTTTGCTGTCAAAGATGATGCCTAAACGACTTATCCATACTGTTAGACACAAGAGGTGCGTAGAATAGCCACCTATAGACTGAATTATCCTGAATACAATTTTTTTTGTGATGCATGGTTAAACTGTATATATTTGTTTACAAAGACAACAATCTTGTGGTTCGCAGTTATACTTGCAGAAGTTGTAAATATTCAGAATTTATCATCCAAAGCTGGCCTCCTCAGCAGAAATGGCTTATTTGAGATCATGATCAAGCGATGAAATTGCATCTCACTGCTTTGAGGCCAGTCGGTTACCATGACGCCACTACGAAATGACATCATTAATACTCGTATCTGTGCCACAAAAAGCAGGTTGTATGGTTTAAACTCAAGACATCAGTTTTTGCTATTAACAAACTGAACAGGTTGTCGCATTGATTTTGTATGATAAATAATTAGAATCTTTTAGTATGAATACATGTGTATGTGTATAAAATTATTAGGTGAGGTGAATTTGGGTTTAACGTCGCGTCCAAGATTATTGCAATAATATAGCGACGTGCATGCACGTGTGTGTGTGGCTGCTTGTACTAAGCCAGACTGATGCCGATTTATAGTGCAAGCTCACTGAGATGCCATGCCGCAGTTTAACATGAATACCCCACTAAGACACAGTATACTGACTCCTAGCCGACCAGTCCTTGTTTTAGCCCCTTAATGCGGAGCGCAAGACAGGGTCACAACAAGTACCATCTTTTAACGTCTTTTGTTATATATAATTATTAACTCCTCGGCCTCGAAGGGTTGAAACTTTTATCAACTCTTATTTATAAATATAATATCATAACGCACTCGGGATAAATTCTGTATTCATTAAAGCCTGATCTTTACCATTATTAACGAGGAGCGGTGGGGTAGCATTGTAGTTAAAGTGCTTACTCGTCACGCCGAAGACCCGTGTTCGATTCTCCACATGGGTACAATGTGTGAAGCCCATTTCTGGTGTCCACCGTCGGGATATTGCTGGAATATTGCTTAGCATCACACAAGTCTTTTCATGTGAGTGCTATATCTGTAATTACAGCATTCCATTTTTACGCTGTCGGACAATATTACGCTGTTTGAGACAACATAGTATTTTCCCTATTAATGTGCCATTGATGACGGCTTACTAACTCGCGTTTTAAACAGATAGTTGAAACAATGTTTGGCTTCAGCAAACTCCCCCAGGGAGAGATTGACTAAATGTAAATAATTTTATTCATTTTGAATCTTAAATTTGGTAAGTTGTGTGACATGCGTGTTCACTTACAGTGAAACGTCATTAATTCGTTGGAGGAATCGACCATATATTGAATTATTTGAAGCGCCTCCAAATTATTAGTAATGGCGGGTGGGGATTTTGTCGTACACTCACATCGTCTTACTTTGTAGTCGATGTATGGAGTTGGCATGGCTGCTCTTTATGTGATGCGAGAACGGTCATCGTGACTGCGGTGAAATAAGTATGCGTCATGTTCATGAGACAATGTGGCTTTCCACTTTACTCACTGGAAAGTTCCATTACTTTTATCTATAAATAATACATCCTCTGATATCTCGTGACACGGAAATCTTTATCCCGTGCACGGAAACAGATGTAATGTGCTTCGGATTTGCCAGTGAATAGTTTCTAAATAAATTTCATATACCGTATTCGACGTAATAAGCGCCCAAGGCGCTCTCAAAATTAGAAATAGGGGGCGCTTATTTGAATATTATTTTGAGTTGAAAGATCGTAAATTTCGTGGTTTATGCTAACAGCCTGAAATGTTTACATACGACAGATATGTTTCCAGAATTTAATTGCCCATAATTAAGGGTGATATAACACACGAGTGTGTATTATACACGAATAAATAAGTCCTGTGTACATTGATCAATCGGAAGGGGTGCTGATTGGGATTGTTCACTAGCCAATATATTAGCAAATATCGCCGTGGGCGCTTATTAGAGCGGGGCGCTTATTACGTCGAATACGGTATGTTCACCATACATTTGTATATGATACATTACTGGGTACACGAAAAAGTACTCTTTTTAGTTTCACCCTTGAATGAGTCTAGTTTGTTTATGATGAAGTCAGCAATGTAACTGCTGTATGTCAGTGGTTGACACGTTATCGGATTACAATAGTCACACAGTCAGCCGGATCAAACATATCGCATGACCAGGAAGTTCTAGTCGTTTTAACGTGTAATGCACACAAGGAAATAACACAACGGAATACCCGTGAATTCAGCAAATCAACTAATTTATTGAATGAAACAAATTTAATAAAAAGCATTTTTGCATTATAAAGAGCGTTTAAAATAGAATTCAATACTCCTGGCAACAACCTAGTGATCGCACAATGGTGATAACTGGTTTAAAGTGGGTTGATAAAGAGCCCTTGCTGACCACAGTATTACAGACCAGAGCATAAGTAGTATTACAGACCAGAGCATAAGTACTATTACAGACCAGAACACAAGTAGTATTACAGACCAGAGCATAAGTAGTATTACAGACCAGAGCATAAATACTATTACAGACCAGAACATAAGTAGTATTACAGACCAGAACATAAGTAGTATTACAGACCAGAACATAAGTAGTATTACAGACCAGAACATAAGTAGTATTACAGACCAGAACGTAAGTAGTATTACAGACCAGAACACAAGTAGTATTACAGACCAGAACACAAGTAGTATTACAGACCAGAACATAAGTAGTATTACAGACCAGAACATAAGTAGTATTACAGACCAGAACGTAAGTAGTATTACAGACCAGAACACAAGTAGTATTACAGAGCAGAACATAAGTAGTATTACAGACCAGAGCATAAGTACTATTACAGACCAGAACATAAGTAGTATTACAGACCAGAGCATAAGTAGTATTACAGACCAGAGCATAAGTACTATTACAGACCAGAGCATAAGTAGTATTACAGACCAGAACGTAAGTAGTATTACAGACCAGAACAAAAGTACTATTACATGCCAGAGCATAAGTAGTATTACAGACCAGAGCATAAGAAGTATTACAGACCAGAACATAAGTAGTATTACAGACCAGAGCATAAGTAGTATTACAGACCAGAGCATAAGTACTATTACAGGCCAGAACATAAGTAGTATTACAGACCAGAGCATAAGTAGTATTACAGACCAGAACAAAAGTACTATTACAGGCCAGAACACAAATACTATTACAGACCAGAACATAAGTAGTATTACAGACCAGAGCATAAGTAGTATTACAGACAAGAACAAAAGTACTATTTCAGGCCAGAACACAAATACTATTACAGACCAGAACATAAGTAGTATTACAGACCAGAGCATAAGTAGTATTACAGACAAGAACAAAAGTACTATTACAGGCCAGAACACAAATACTATTACAGACAAGAACACAAGTACTATTACAAGCCAGAACACAAGTACTATTACAGACCAAAACATAAGTAGTATTACAGACCACAGCATAAGTAGTATTACAGACCAGAACACACAGGTACTATTACAGACCAGAACATAAGTAGTATATAGCACGGGTATGGTGCTAACAAACCTAGAAACATAATCGGGGCGAACCGGGATTCGAACCCACAATCATAGGTTTCTGGCGTGCCCAAGGGACGCAACTCTGCACAGCGAATCGCGGCGCCCTAGACGACTGAGCCACCCGTGCCCCCCCTCCCCCCCCCCCCCCCCGGACCCAACAGAGCACCATTATGATCAAAACGTGTATTCGTGTCAGTAAACACACATTTACTCGGGTAAATAAGATAAGACTGAATAAAAAATAATAAAATAATACATCAAAACAAGCCACCTATTTACATCTATCTATGACAGTCCAGTGTTCGTGCATTTAGCAACTAATCGTGGATCCTCGATGAAAACGTTATAGGTTACTACAATTCCCTTTCTGTCTGATCTAGACACGCACGTGTTGCGGTATGTTAGATCACTGGGATATTAATACCCCTATACTAAACAATAAATCCTGGACAAATAGAGGGATTTTCATGAGTACATCGCACTATACGCGCATACTCCTGAAGGAGTGCAACACAGATATATATCACATGCGTTGGTCTATGTCAACTTACGGTGCTTTAATGAAGCATCTCAGGTCGTAGTTCAGCCAGTGGAACGTGATTAATGTGTAAACATCACGTCACAGAAAAGGAAACAGTCACGGTACAACAATGTTACCTCGATCTGCCATCATTGATTTCATGTCAATGTTCAGCCATATCACGATCTTCCGGTTTGTTAACAGATGTTGATAACATATTATCTAAAGTACTCACGAAAATGAAAAAACCCTGTTTTTTCGATCTCAGATTTTAAATAAATACAGTTAATATACAAAATTTATAAATATTCAAACAACTCAATTAGTACTAATTGGGCCTTGGCACACATACAGCGTATCAAAGGTTTTAATGTCTTTTTACACGTAAAAGTGTGTAAAAATATGAACAAAACAGACTATTGTGAAACTGAGCATAATCAGTTGTTAGTAGATCAAGGTGAATGTCCATGACCTATGACACCTTGACGAGAGGTGAAAACAGGTGCTTGAAACCCACGTGCATGTGATTTGTCAGTGGTTAGTGATTTGTGAGTGGCATTGTTGTATAGTGAATCATTGTCAAAATATCAGAACGTAAAGGTAACATATTCCCTTCTCAAACAACAACTTACATGTATTATGTACATAAACATAGCTGTTATTTTTATTGTTGTTTTGATAACTTATTTCCAGGCTAATGTGCATAATGCCTATAGCCTGTCTCTGCCATGTCAATTTGGACTTAGTTTCATTTTTGAATGTTGAAAGTGCCTACAAATTACCTCCTGTAAAGTACATTTTGTATTGAGCACTGAGATAAAACTAGCAAATCCAGACTAGTACTTTTCCAGTTGTTTTGTTATTTCGTATTTACATCTACGTAATGCTTTGTGTCGATTATTAAATCCAGCAAAACAGTTTTTTTTTATTTCCATGAGTACTTTAGTTCGACAGGTGATGGAGACGGTTGCAGCACTACCGTTGGTTCTTTACACAAACATTTCCTTCTCAGGACGAAGATAACGCCGATGATAACAGCTATGATGATAACAGCTATGATGATAACAGCTATGATAACAACAGCTATGATGATAACAGCTATGATGATAACAGCTATGATAACTGCAATGGTGATAACAGCTATGATGATAACAGCTATGATAATAACGGCTATGATGATAACAGCTATGATGATATCAGCTATGATAACTGCAATGATGATAACAGCTTTGATAACAACAGCTATGATGATAACAGCTATGATGATAACAGCTATGATAAGAACAGCTATGATGATAACAGCTATGATGATAACAGCTATGATAACTGCAATGATGATAACAGCTATGATGATAACAGCTATGATGATAACTGCAATGATGATAACAGCTATGATGATAACAGCTATGATAACTGCAATGATGATAACAGCTATGATGATAACTGCAATGATGATAACAGCTATGATGATAACAGCTATGATGATAACAGCTATGATAACTGCAATGATAAGAACAGCTATGATGATAACAGCTATGATGATAACAGCTATGATAACTGCAATGATGATAACAGCTATGATGATAACAGCTATGATGATAACAGCAATGATGATAACAGCTGTGATGATAACAGGAACTGGGTTCATAACAATAAGAGGCGTAGAACTTAACACTAAGAACTTTGTATTGTAACTGATGGAAATATCCATAATGACATACACAAATAATACTTAATGACATAATGACGAAGCCAACTATTTACGTTTTCAACAGATATAAACCTTCATGTTCAGCATATTAAGTCTTATTTCAGCCAATGGAACGTGATAAATGTCTAACCATCCACGAGACAGAAGGGGCAGAGGAAACAGGCGCGCCCGGTACAATGTTACCTCAATCTGTCAACAATGAGTCCATTTCAATGTTCGTCAATATCAAGAGTTCCATCTTCAGCTTTGTTAACAGACGTTGTTAACATTGAAACTGTATCGTGAGATGGTGGAGGCTGATTATTCTCTCGCGTTGGCTTCTTACGTTTCTTTCTTAGGAAGAGGATCACAAAGATGATAACTACGACGATGACGAAAATAATGGCAACTGTGATCCCAACACTAACCCCCGTATGGCTGTCAGACTCCTCTGTGTCCCGTCCATCTGATGTGGGAGGAACACTGAATTGTGTTGAGGATGTCGTGATGTTAGACCGTGCGTCTGCAGGACAGTGATAGGGAAAAACTTAAAACCTCCCTAAACAATGATTATGTACTTACTTAGGATGATTTAATATTATTGTGACATATCAGCTGATCAATATACGTGTATATGCTATTGAGAAATGTCCAGTTGAAGATGCAGTGCTACACATGTAAGCATACAAAATCATCGTAAACAAAATGAAAAGCATGATACCAAACTGGAATGGTTCATGATAGACTAAGACAATAACAGCAAAGTTGCAGACACCTGTGGTTCCTGCCCTGTGATAGTATGATAGCATTTTGTTCTTACCCTGTGCCAGTCGATGTACACCCTCACAGGACACGTTCCAGCTGCTGCCACCACAAGCGTACATCAGACTGACCTCCCCAAAGTGTGGGCCTGTTACAAGGAACTCTGTGGTCCATACTGTGGTATTAACAACTGTGTGGTTGGTGAGGGTGATGTTGACGCTTCCAGTTGTCAGCGTAACTAGAAACGGCTCAGAGCAGTAGCCTCTTGAAAGGTGCACAGACAGTGCTAGTTTGTCGCCCTCGTTGAGCGAGCTGATGTTCTTGTCGCTGGTTACGTCACACGTTGGTATCTCTGAAAGTTATGATGCACATAATGGACAATGATAACAAAAACCTGACACAGAAAAACAAATATACTGATTTCTTTACCCATTGATTGAGAATCTACTTAATATCTTCACAGTTTTGTACCCTTTTCCAGGAATTCAGCTGTGCGTTAGTGGTGAGTTGGTATTTGGGATGTAACACGTGACGATTTAAGTTAGTGAGTTGGGTTTAACGCCGCTTTCAACAGTATTCCAGTTTTATCACGACGTGTAGCTTAATGTGGGAGGAAAGCCCGAGGTAATGCAGGTCTCAGACGTTTACCACTTCGGTGAAACCCACGAGCAGGGGTATGATGCTGACAAACCTAGAAAACATAATCGGGGCGAACCGGGATTCGAACCCACAATCATAGGTTTCTGGCGTGCCCAAGGGACGCAACTCTGCACGGCGAATCGCGGCACCTTAGACGACTGGGCCACCCGTGCCCCCCGATTTAAGAAAATGTTCGTCATTACGAGTAGCATTTGCGTGATCCGGATATGCTGGTTCTTGTGATGCTTTTATTTATGTCCGGACCTAAAGATTCAGTTATGTATTTACATTTTTGTATTTTAATAATACTTGTGATAATGTGCAACACTTATCGGACATCATATTAAGCTTGGACTAAGGTTAGGTTTATACTTAGGCGCCAAAGTGACTTAGATCAACTGTTCATATTTACCAACAACAGTCACGTGACAAGTCTCAGGGTATGGATCATCTGCATCGTCGACACATTTCCAAACACCCCCATGTGACCGCCGTGTCTTGGGTACAGTGAGAACACTGCACGTCGTGTTGATGACTGATGCCGCGAAGTTACCCACTGGTATACACCTTCCGCCTGCCAGATCACACGACGCGGCAGTGGTTCTTCTCGGTGTTGCGTAGGAGTGAGCTTTTGCAGCAGCGTCAACGTAACATGTCAGAATCATTGACGAGCCCAGTTCAACCATTTGAGGACAGTGAAATTTGGATGTGCCTTTGAGAAAAACATCACAAAAAATGACATCATTGACATGAACTATTTTGAGACATTATTATCCTGACAACGTATGGAGTACACTGAACAGAGCAGAAGAATATGATTGATTTTACCCAGCCAAATATCACACTTCCCAAATACAAACTTTATGAACAAAGTCGTCTACCACTATGTATATCGTAATCAGGTATTCTGTGCTTTACCTTTGTCCTTAAAGGGGGCACGGGTGGCCCAGTCGTCTAAGGCGCCGCGATTCGTTGTACAGAGTTGCGTCCCTTGGGCACGCCAGAAACCTATGATTGTGGGTTCGAATCCCGGTTCGAACCGATTATGTTTCTTGGTCAGCATCATACCCCCTACTCGTGGGTTTCACCGAAGTGGTTAACGTCTGAGACCTGCATCACTTCGGGCTTTCCTCCCACATTAAGTTGACACGCCGCGATATAACTGGAATACTGTTACAAGCGGCGTTTAACCCAACACACTCACTTTGTCCTTAAATAACTCTGGATATATGATAAATAATGAGGTTAGTAAATGATAAATATGTAATGAAAGAAGAATATAACCTACAGTAGACGGTTGTCATGAAAACTAAAATAAAGATGGTAGATCGCCGGTACCAAGTACATCGACTGCCTCTCTGGGGGACTGGCATCTGTAAACACGTACATGGAGATCAGTTGTCACATATTCAAAGGTGAGGTTAAATGGTTTCAAGGTCGTGTTCAAATTCATTGCAATTATATAGCGACGTGCATGCACGTGTGTGTGGCTTGTGTTTCCGGACGTATGCGTGTTTCAAAGTGCTTGCCCACTTGGATAGCATGCACAGTACATATGTACTGACTATGGTGGTCGATAGGGGGGACATCGCTTTCTCGCTCTATCGCTTTCTCGCTCAATCACTTTCTCGCCCTATCGCTTTGTCGCTTTCTCGCGGGAAGACAATATCCCCTCTTGACCCCTAAAAGCGGCGTAAAACCATACTGATCACTCACTAAACATAATTAAACTGTACAAACGAAGGTGGTTTTAAAACAATCCACGGATGTCTGCGTAAAATGCAATTGTTTGTTTTATGGCCCTATTTAGGTTTATGTGATCATGACGCCGATGGTGCCGCCAAAGCGCGTGGCGGGTCATGGTAATACGCTCTAAATTAATCAGTTTAAAATATATATATTTCAAAAGAACTCTATAGTTAATCAGTCATGGCCCTTTGTTTTGCAAAATACCATCTTATAATTGTGAGTGTTCTTTAACTTGTTTTGAGTAGAATAATATGATGCTACATTGTGTCATACTATTGTACGTAAATATTCCTTTTGACATTTGATTTATGATCAACTTGTGTTGTGGCTCTTGTCTTGTGCAAATCTACAAGAATATTCCCTTGCACATAATAATTTGATTAACACCACAGTTAACGTTGATAACAATATGAATGCACAACTGTGATTATCTATGACGCGTGTAAAATCAGCTATCATTCTAATATTTCATGTATATATATTTTGAATATAGTTTTGTCAAAATCAGATACAGTAAACTATGGTTATAACGAACTCAAAGGGACCACTAAGTTTAGTTCGTTATAACCGTAGCTCGTTATAAGCATATATAAGCATAACGACAGTAAATAGTCGGGACAAAAAAGTAGGTTCGTTATATCCGTCAGTTCGTTATATGTGGGTTTCTGTATGTGGGTTGGTGGCCTGGGTTGGTGCGTGTGCGTGCGTGTGTGCGTGCGTGTGTGCGTGCGTGCGCGTGCGTGCGTGCGTGCGTGCGTGCGTGCGTGCGTGCGTGTGTGCGTGCGTGCGTGCATATATGTCTGACTCACTGTCTGTGTTCCTGGTGTATATATGATAGAAGATTACATAACTCACCCCAGAACGCACAATTGATAACAACCATACAGTTCAATAGCTAGAGAATTGTTAAATAAATATAAATATTCCTGCTTGACCAAAGAGAGCAAATCTCGTCTCACCAGGTGGGAAAGTTAAACTCTATTTAACAAGCACATTAGCATGAAATGTCATTCCCGGAGACAGTTTGATCGAAAGGAATTATAAGAAACGAGTTGTTTTTAAATATTATGTACAACGCATTATATTTCTATTGTCCAAGGAATGAGGTTAAGGGTTAATAACGCTCTCAAATGTCGTGACTTAAAGTAAAGACTTATATCTAATCGATCTATATTTTTAAGGGAAACATAACTGTGTACATGTATAGCTTTTGTCTGCATAATGTACATGCATCTTCATCAATATAATTGTCATCCCTTAATCGGACAAGCACATATTCGACTTCAATCCAAATCTGTTGACCTTCAAAACAATTCATAAGACAATGCAAACAATACAAACAGTGGCTGATAATACGGACAATGATCTGAATGTAATTCATTGTTTGTTGCAGTTCAATGTATCTTTTAAAGCTTCATTTTTAAGATTGATGGAAGAATGGGGTGGCATTATGCATACAATCAACATATGAATAACGACTATTCTGTTGTAGTCTGTGAATCTTGCTAATTTACTACACCACAAGAAAATAAACACATACTTGTATACAAACTAAACTTGAGATACCACACTCTATTTATGTCTACCATATTTATGTTCTACAAAATTTGAAAAATGCTAGGTATAAGGGTCAAAATAGCGGTGAGAATTATAGGCATGGATCAGTGAATATCAGCAAAAAATAATTAATTTACGACATTATGGGAAATATCGCTTTCTCACTTTCATATGAAAGACTCGGTTGTTTTTTAACGTCTTCTGAATAGTATGTACTGTAAATCTTGAAATTAAGTAAGGATAAGAATTTATGGATGAACAACAGTTACTTCTTTATTACAATTAAGAGCGACGTTTCGGTGTAGGTTCTGACAACGTTATCAAGCAAGTGAGTTAATTAAATGCAAAAATGCGACTAGACTAATTTAACTTTGCATTCATGTCTCAGAAATGACTTTTGATAAGACGGCCTTCCTGCACACATTTCCACATTACGGTTTATTGAGAACAATATGTCACTCAAACATTAGAAAATACATACTGGACATCCGATGAGTTAGCATTGCTGGGGTGAGGACTTCCTGTTTGATGACATCTTTGCTTTTAGGAAAACACTATTGTTTGTAGGGAAGTACACTACACAGCGCTATCAGGCAGTGTTATTTGCTGATTGTATTGATTACTGGGTCTTACACAGATCTGTGGATTGTTGTAAAAGTACCTACGTCTGTACAGTTAAATTATGTTTAAGTAGATAGTGAGAACATTTCGACATTCCCTCCATATACATAATTTGAAATGCGAAATATCTCAGCTCTATTTTATGATCTGAGTAAGGATACGATATATGGATGAACAACTTCTTTATTGCAATTGGGAGCGACGTTTCGGTGTCGGTTCTGACACCGTTATCAAGAAAGTGATGTACAGAGTGTGGTTGACAAGTATATGTACAGGTAGGGGGCAGTGTTTATACAGTTGGGTAGATTAAGTTGGAGTGGAGAAGCATGTTATGTACACAAAAAGGTGAAGCCTCTATTGCGATTAAAACCCACTTCAGCCTGTTTTTGGCAGAGCGACAATGCGACAACGTGACAATTTCCCTTCTAGGATTCCATAGTTATGGTACGGAGAGCATGGCGTAATAAACAAACAACTGCATGACATGTTATAATCGTCTACATATGGACGTTAAAAGAGCAGCACAAGTAAGTAAGTGAATGACTTCTGGTTGAACGCGTCTTTGAGAGAGTAAATTTGGTTTAACGCTGCCTTTGACCAGAAGTCCAGTTATATCACGGCGTGTCAGCTGGATGTGGGAGAAAAGCCTGAAGGGATGAAAAACTCAGACGTTTACTTTGGTGAAACCCACGAGCCCGGGTATGGTGCTGACAACTGGGATTCAAACTCACGATCATAGGTTTCTGGTGTGCCCAGGGGATGCAACTCTGCACAGCGAATTGCGGCGCCAACCTTGCCCCCTGTTATATCCGTTCACCTTTTCAGTTTTTGATAGTGATTCGTACAAAAGTCTACTAGGAGATATTTGCTTGATCTCGTACAACAGATATCTCCCATGTCAGTCAGCGTAGAATGACAGACAGACCACGAGCCAAGCTTATCCCCAGGAGTTCAGTAAATACAGCAGAAAGGTTAGTTGTAAATAATGGAAACATAACGAAATATATACATACGTTAGTCGTCAAAGGTGGCAATACTCGGATTCCTGAACCAGCAAACTGCAAACATCGGGTAAACTAATATATCGTGATAATCTACTTCGTCATGTACAGATTTGTAAACCAATTGCACAGTTTCTCTTATCAGCTGATCCTGGTTTCTGTTTATTGTTACTGTTACAGTATGCACTGCTTTATTTACGAGTGCTACATTCATCAAATCAATACACGCATAAAAGATAGTGAGAATGAACACATTCAATACAGATGTAATATATTTGAATGAACTGTGTTTGTCACTTGTTCGTTTGCTGGTGTTGTGCACAATGTCATGGAAAAGAAATTAAAAGCAGAATGCACGTGCAGTGATGATGACTATGAACGGTGAAACGGCAGTCAACATTTGTCACACGTTTGGCGACGTATTGGAAGTGGGAAAATGTCGTCACTTAAAGCTGCCCATTGCCACATCGCCGAAGGACGTCTTGAAGATGGCGAGTCCCAGTCCGCAGTTGCACGACATTTCAACGTACACCCGAGCACAATATCCCGTTTATGGGATCGGTATACCCGCCTCAATTCAAACCAAGATCTCGTCCTAGAAGTGGTAGACCAATAGTCACCGCCCCTGCACATGATAACTAGGAGATACGAAACTTCTTGAGACTGAAAGGATCACTCATGCATACCCAGTTTCAACCAGTTTCTATCTAGTTTTAATACAGACTGATTGTCTATTACACTGGTCTGAGTTTGCAATCGGTTGGGTGAATCAACGTGCGTGCGTGCGTGCGTGCGCGCGCGTGTCCAGTTCTTCTTGTATCCCCTAATTCCGGTATGGTGGCAACACGCACATTAGTACAACACTTTCACAGCCAGGCATGGAACCACCGACCTCCAAATCTCACAGCTAATGCTTTATCCTCAAGATCCCGCACACACCGTGTTGACCATGTACTTATATAAACCTTCTGGCTATTTGTGTAACTCGATATGGAGTTTTTGAAATTGTGGCAACACCTTGTAACACCTCGTAGGAATTTTACAGAATTTCGGAAACAACCGCTTTCTGATCTTCACTTTCACGCTTGTACACACGCACGGCTTCGCTACGATGCCCAGTTTGGTCACAAATGGTCTGCTCGTCCATGTTAGCTTGGTCGAGACGAGTGGCAGCAGTCGCGCGAAGCGAGTGGTTAGTTTTCTTCCCAACGATGCCAGCCTTGACACACAGCTTCTTGATTGTACCCCCTAACGTGTTGTGGCCAACCGGCATACTATGGTACAACTGCGAGTCGCTCGGCATCCTCAGGGGTGTCAAGTTAAAGCATCCCTTTCCTCTGGGAGAGTTTTCGGGCTAAAATAGATTAAAATAACACGGAGACATAAAGATAAAATAAAATAAACCATTAAGAATGTACAACTTAGGATTTAACTTAATACTTTACGTGACAAAGCGATCAAAGTTAAGACATTTAATTTCAATATTGGTAGCATTTGAAGTTTTTTCTGAATTCATAAAGATTTTTATTCAACAGGTTGGGGCTACCCCTGAAATGAAGGAAATGGACCCACCTGAGTGAAACACCCCCAATTGAGTGAATACACGCACCCACAAACCCCTATAAAAAGGTGAAAAATCCACATGCACCTTGCGGCGTCTGAACAAAACGTCGCAAGATGGTAAGTCACTTTTGATCAGTACGGTACTACATTCTCCACTATGCGACACATGCCGACATGAACACGTGCCTCGGTACATGCGTTGATAAACATTTAGAAACAGACATTCACGCGTTTACAACAACTCAGACCTGTCACATCGCTATAACGCTACGATACAACTCACAATTTACACAAGAACGGCATTAATATCCCCTCTCAACACACACTAACCTGCCGGAAACGATGGCCGCTCATGTCACTCGCCAACTGCGAAAGAGCACTCATCGTCAGAGATGTGGTCAGGAACTGTGGTGAACCGAAAGGGACACAATTCGAACCCATTTACAAGAGAGTAAACCCTGCACGCATGTCATCATTTAGGGATGTAAAATCACTAAATTGCATAGGAAAACAGTTATTTACATGAAGAGATATATAACATCATTCAGCTGCAACTACATGAAAATAAATTATTGCCACATTCAAAATAAAACATTGTTTCTGAATGTAAAAGTAAAGTAAAGTGCAGATGAAAACAAAAAGTAAGAGAACAACATGGAAAAAGACAAGTGTCCAAAAGTCCTCCACATCAAAAGGTCCCCACACGGGCCCTAGAGGACAAGCAATCATTGAAGACCCCAAGGACAGGGCCAAAAGCTTTTCCAAGCGGAAACTAACTCTGATTAAAATGGTAATTTATTCAGTATACAAAATGTGTTTACCGTCATAAGGAGCGGCGCATTCCATGGCAGCTTCCACATCCAGCAGGTCTTTATAAAAGACCATTATTTTAGCCTTTGTACCGGAGCGGATTGCCTTCCATTGACGACGCATGTCATCTGCCTGAAACAAGTACGATATTAATATACACAAAACAATATGAATTCAAAACATACCAAAGAATACAAAAGTTAGGGTAATCTATGAACAAAACGATTATTACTATGTTATCAAATGTTCACTTTTCATACCTGTACATGTTGCAATGTGACCTCCACCAAGGTCATTAGTTCGTCTTTTGTGCGGTTCTCTATTTTCAGTGATTCCTCTCCGTCTGCAGTGGTCACCATGATCTTTGATAAGGGTGTTCCCTTACGGGAAAAATCACCGCAAATGGCCTTATCCCTGTTTAAATTAAAAGCGCATACAGTGTTACAGGATAAATAGTGATGCAAATACAATGAAATGTGTAAATACCAATTGCTAGTGTACGTATTACAAGTTTCAAGAAATGTAGAAGGATGGGTACAATGGGTGAAGATCAATGCTGGTGTCCCCCGCCGTTATATTGATGAAATATTGCAAAAAGTGTCCGAAAGCCATACACAGTGAAGCACAGTATAAGAAATAAGTACTAACTTATTAATAATATACACACCTGTATATTTGTCGGTTTTGCTGACACTGTCGCACACAATTAACAAGGTCTGCATCAAGATGGAGGCTCTGGTCAAGGCCAACATGCGGACGATTACTTTCAGGGTTTTGAAAGTAATGCAAGTGCCTCAACCATCCTGTTATTTCAGCAGCCACAAAGATAAGTGTGTGACAGTTGAAAAGTCATGGCTGACTGTCATGCCTGCAGCGTCGAACATGGCTGATTTCAACTATGAGAAAAGAAATAATGACAATTATGATACACTCTTCAAATGAACAGACAATACGTCAAACCTAATATTAATGTATATTATCATGTATGTATGTCCAATTTATAACAAACAGGTCAAAGAGTTCATAACGACCACTGGAGCAGATGTGTACCTGGAGTTTTGTGCCGATGGGGGTGGGGCCCATTTCTATATGGCCACGCCCTTTTTTGAGGAAAAATACGGTGTATGTATACCGATGTTACTTCTTACAATATAGATAAATAACCACTTGGTGATAGAAATGGCATATGGAGGTTATATTGCATACCTAAATACACTATTATGAATGGATTCCCTGATCAATTTGATATGCATTCACTATTTTAACACTAGTGTTATTGGAAAACTAATAATATAACGTCTTATGCAGAAACCCGATGGAGCAGAAGCTGTTCACCAGAAAACTATCACAATCCCCAAACCAACCCACATTATCACCCAGACACCTGATCAGCCATCATCACCACAACCATCCACATCTGCCACATCACCTTCTCATTGTATGGAACCGTCCATTTCCATGAAAACATCAGACCCGCCCATTCAAGAAAAAACATCAACATCACCCGCCAAAACGACAGCCCCTTCCAGCCGACCCAAGAGAAAGGCCACTAAAAAAGTTTATGAACATTGTAAGTCCTCTAAATTCAAACTGTCACAATTTGCAGCTTTTGTCAGAAGGAATATACCCCAGACGATCAGAGACTAAATGAATGGGTGGGATGTGAACACAAGTGTCAGCCCGAATGTTCATTTTGGTGTCACATTGGCTGCATGGGTGTTCATATTAAATCAACCAAAGACCTCAAACCTTTAACTATTTACTGTCCTGCCCATAATCCATCATTAAAGTCATAACATTAATCACGTGGTGGTTGTTTGTTGAATTAATGTATTGTTTATTGTGCAAGGATGCGGGACCGCCACCGTATACTGGTATTGCTTCATATGAAGTATATCATAGGTTTCGATGTGTTTTATGCATATTTTAAGCCGTAACTATATACACGTGTGGGCATGTATTCTATACTATCCACATAAAGAAACTGTGCACGGAGAAAATATATTCTGGATTGAAATACAACACAGCAAGAACAAAATGATGCAGACGCTGTAGCAGCTGAATGATCGGACCATAAGAAAATGTCAACGGGACCTGAACAACATCTGTAACGATGACGTCAGAAGATCAAAATGGAGTAGGGGGTCAAACGACCAAGTCACAAAGTCAAAAACGGGTATGACCACCCTGTGCGTGAATCACAGCAGTGCATCGGCGACGCATGGAGTCCACCAAATGGGCATGGAAGGCCTGGGGAATGGCCTGCCATATCCTCCTCAAATCTGGAGGATGTGGAAGACGACGCAGACGGCGCTCCATATCATCCCACACATGCTCTATTGGGGAGAGATCTGGAGAATTTGCAGGCCATGGCAGTAACATGACATTGTTATGGTGAAGGAAATCCATTGCGACCCTAGCCGTGTGAGGACGAGCGTTGTCTTGTTGAAATGTCAATCCCGGGCCATGACGTTGCAGGAAAGGAATGACCACAGGCCTCAGAATCTGATCTCTGTAGCCAACACCGGTGAGATTGCCCTGAACAACCACCAAAGGGGTTCGGTGCCGTGCTGTTATCCCACCCCAAATCATCACAGAGCCACCTCATAAAAACGATTCCTCTCCACAATACAGTTGCGTGCATAACGTTCTCCCAAACGCCGGTAGACACGTTGGCGCCCGTCACTGTGGGAAATGTTGAACCTCGAGTCATCTGTAAAGACAACATTTCTCCACCATATTCGAGGTTCGCGAACATGATTTCTACACCATCTTAGACGGTTGACTCGATGATGGTGTGTCAGGATGGAACGTATGGCAGGGCGTCGTGGTCGAATCCCGTACTGACGTAAACGATTCCGGACAGTGTTGGGATGGATACGGCGCAGTCCAGGAATTGTCTGGGACGTCGTTACTGCCGTTTGGAACTTGTGTCGGAGATGTGTAACTCGAATCCATCTGTCCTGTCTTGGCGTCGTTACTCGGGGACGTCCTGAACGTGGGTGGTCGGCAACGTCATTTGTGTTCTGATAACGCCTCACCAATGCCGATATCGTGTTACGATGGCATTGGAAATGTGTTGCCACCTGTTGTTGCCTCATTCCCGCTCGGATCATTCCAATGGCTTCATGACGCTGTGCAGCTGTCAATCTTGGCATGATTTGCTTGTGATATGCTTGTGTCTGCGCCTGAGAAGTTTTGAATTTTTGAATGATCACAGATCATGCTTTCCAAAGTGACAGCGAATTTTGAGTTGCACATGCTGTGTACAGCTGCACAGGATGCACGTGCAGTAACACATTGCACGTCCATAGGCCCCATCAATGACGTCATATTGCATGGCACGTGCATGAGCGTTTGAATGTCTCCAATAATTGCTGTGTTCAAACCTATATTTCACACATCGACGGTGTGCCCTTATATCTATATTTCTCCGTGCACAGTTTCTTAATGTGGCTAGTATATATAAATCATTTTCATATAGTACGAAATGTGATGGTTCACATCATATTCATATTACATAATATGTTAATGTTTGTAAAGAATGGTATTGCAGTAAAGTGTGTTAAGAAACAACTTATACTCCTGAGAGTGACATTGTACCACACTATTGTTTGCCTACTCCGACGTCCGCGCCTCACATATTTAAGCCGGAGAAATATTACAGAAGTCAGTCAGTGGTCACTTGGCTGGATTGAATAACACGTGAGTTGAAATATTGCTTGTAAAATAAGTCCTATACACTATCAGTTCCTTTCATAGTCACTTTATATGAACGTCGTCAAAATTACATCATATGTTAGTACAGATGATATATACCTATAGGCTTTTTACCTTTTCTAATCTGTGAAGATTGCGACAACTACAGAGCCAGCCGTTTTCTGTTGGTAGGCCTGGTGGTATCCGCATTTTTATTTTTCCTGTTCAGGCTTAAAGGACGAAATCCCCTCCTTCCCCTTTGCTCGGGGGACCAGACTGAGATAGAACTTCACTGTGATGAAGAAATTCGGTTACCTCCGGATGGTGACTTCATCACGAAATTCAGTCTGCTGATACATGGTAAAGTGGTCGTTATGTATTTGGAGGCCAATATGACACGGCTGTTGTTTCTACGAACAGAGGCACGAAACATGAAGAGGGGAATGACGAATGTCTTCAAAACTTCCCAGGCAAAGATGTGGTTTGGATTTTTACATTTTGATAGCCAGTGGAGACATCCCTCAATGCTGAACTTTGTGTTGTTGACAATGCATTGACGAACATAAGGTATGATCAATTCGTCGATTGTCCCATACAGAAATATCAACACAAACTGCCAAGACTTGTGATTCTGTGCTGCTTGTGCATAGGCCAGCGCATGTGGTGTACGAAACCCTGTCATAATTGCCATGTGTTTAAGAAAGGGATGCCATAGTTACTTAAAAATTGAACGTACCATGTTCATTTCATAATGACCAAATCCAGGCACTAACAACACATTGGGATACTTCATACATGTGTCTACATTAATGTCATTCCTGTCAAGTTGACTTTGCAGATGTTTGCTCAATTGTTCCTTGCCCCCTCTACATTCATGTTGACACAGAGGACAAATGTACCATTTGTTTATGATATTGGTCACAATGTTGTACGGACATCCATCACATCCAACAGCTATCCATGTGCGAATATCACCTGTGCCAGTTTGCTGATGTAGCTCATGCAGTCCCCTGTCTACATTGTCATAGCTGTTTGGGTTTGTCAACACAGGATCGCCCAAGGTGACAGTGGGTTGTTGGGTTGCATGTCGACTTTCTATGATCATAGGGATCATGGGATTGTTTGAATGAACAGGTGTCAATGAGTGGATGATCCCTATCAACATTGTCTGACAGAGTACCATCCTGTGAGGGGGCTGACCCTTCGCAACTTCATGTAGCCTGTGCTCAAGGGAGTCATGAACAAGACTTGTCATGATGTGTTGACTTTCAGTGGCCATTTCATCTAATAGTGGTGAAATAACATCTTTTAGGTTGACTGAATGCAGCCATACATATGGTGACAACTGTGGGGCTGGGTCATTTATGTAAATGATGTTTGTTGTACTGCTGCATTTAGTTTTGTAATTTAAGGTGACACGCCAATTCCGTTCAATCTTTTGGCGACGTTTTGTTCAGACGCCGCAAGGTGTATTTTTCACCTTTCTATAGGGGTTTGAGGGTGCGTGTATTCACTCAGCTGGGGTTGTTTCACTCAGGTGGGTCCATTTCCTTCATTTCAGGGTTATCCCCAACCTGTTCAAAGATACTTTCGACTCACCAAAGTGACTAATACTTCTCGTACAGTCTGACGAAACTGCGATCAGGTCTCTCCTTGTTCTCATACGCTCTCACGTCCCTAAGTTTGACCTTGCGTTGCTGGATTCCACCGGGGTTCGTTTTAGAGATGTTTTCACACTAACGTAGGTAACGTCGAGGTTGGTTAAACATCCTCAAATTGCGGTGCTCCTCTCCTCCCCGCAATGCAAAATTGAGACCTAAAACAAATTTCAAATTAACCACTCAATTTTATTTCAATAAATAAATACATATTCGAAATTGACAGACAAAATTTTAGAGAATACATCATATTTTCGACTCAACTGAGCAGAGATGTTCGATGCCCTTTAGAACGATATAAACACTCACCAGTTAGGTACAAAACTGTATCCAGTAGTGTCTGGGGGGTAGAGTCTCCAAGCATCCCCTTCTCCAACAATTGCTGTTCCTCTTCCTCGGACATAACTTCTGTCGACTTGCGTGTTGACGCGCCGAATCCCTGACCACTCCTTTCTTTCATTACTGCATCGAGCGATTTTCTCGCTTCTTTAAATTCGTCGTCATCAAAAAGGTTGCAGAATGCAGAATTTTCTTTCAGAATTGACGCAAAGGCTGCATATATTCCATATAACGTCGTGAATGGATAAACTTCCCTGTTCTGCTTCCTGGCGTCAAACGAAAAGTATGTCAACGCAGTGTCCAAGTCCCGTTTTCCATATCCTGCAAACGCTGGGAGGCAACTGGGAGGCAAACGAAGATTCAAAAATAACTCTGTCTCGCTGTCAGACATCCTCTTTCGTCACTGGCTGTACAATGAATGAGCGTCAGTCAAAGCAAAACGTGTAATTGTCTCAGCCTACGAGACGCACGTGCAGATTTCGTGCCATTGCGAGACGCACGTGCAGATTTCGCACCGTTGCGAAACCCACGTGCTAAGGTCACCGGTTTCACTGAACCGAGTTCACGACTGCAGGCGATATTTCATCTCCGATACAGGTTATACACTTGAGAGTTTTTATTACAGTTATTTAATTAAAAACGTTGTCTATGCGATGAGTCGGTTTATAAGTTGAACAAACCATTTCTCCTCGCCCCCTCGGTATGTCACCTCAAGTCAGGGTTTACAATCGCTGGTAATCCCTCGTAGAAATGGTTACTCCTATACTGACATCATGAGCATCAATTCACGCAATTGGGATACGATGACATGCATCAACCAAGTCAGCGAGCCTGACCACCCGATCCTGTTAGTCGCCTCTTACCACAAGCATAGTCACCTTGTACTTCAAACATGTACAGTGGTTGCTGGGTCCTTAATATATAAATACATTATAAATTAGCAGTAATCGGTTGCAATTTTCAGAAAAGGAATAAACCTAATCAATCTCACGATTGTCATACAGAATGAGTCATCCATGGCTTGGTAAAGACCACGTGTATGCCAGTACACAGCACTGTGAAACTATTCGAAATCTGGTCTAGCAATGAAAGTCTTCATATGAGCGAACTTCGCCTAAAAGCCATCACGACATTTATACTTGTTGTGACGTATGGTTTTTGTCTGGAAACTTAATCAGGCTTAAAAATTTAAAATTTGGCGCTCTTACAGTGTGACCTGATGAAGTCATCAAGTCACACATAGCTAGGTCTGTTTACTGTGCACTCATTTTCTGTTTCCTTCATTACGGTGAAGCGTATGTTTGGAATATAGTATCGATTGGTGTATGTTCACTCATATGTGGAAGGGATTTTTGAAAGTAATGGAGCACAATTTAATTACATGCAATTTTATTTTCATTTGTATTATTTGTGACGTGGGTTTGTGTCAGTAAAGTGATTTTATGTTAGACAGATGTCCTTTAAACTCCCTGCTTAAGATGATTGGTTGGTCAGCATCATATCTTGATGAAAGCTGAGAATTCAAAATACATGCAAATTGATCCGAAAGAGGAGGGTAAAAATTATCGTTGTTTTATCGTTATCAATATAATGATTTTGTATATTTTCATATAAGGGACAGTATTATCGATGCGATTAACCCGTCCGATACACTTGTTTAAGTATGCAAATGGGATCACCTTCTAGGAACTACTTTCAATATCCATACATCGATTCAAAGTCTGCTTTCTCAATAACCTACTAACATTCCCAATGCGTTTACAAAGGTGGGGGGAGGTGAAATGGGGTTTCACCTCAAGGTTATTGCACTTATGTAGCGAGATGCTTGCACGTGTGTTTGTGTGTGTCTGCTTGTGCTAGTCCGGACTAATGCCGATTTTATAGTGCTAGCCCACTGAGATACCATGCCGCAGTTTGACATGAATACCCCACTCATACACAGTTTACTGACCCCTAGACGACCAGTCCTTGTTTTAACCCCTTCATGCCGAGCGCCAGGCAGGGAAACAACAAATATCATCTTTTAACGACGTTTTGATATGAGGCGGTCGGGGATCGAATCCCGGACCTTCCGATCTCAGGGCAGACGCTCTACCCCTGGACTATAGTGGCGGTCCGTTTACAAAGGTGTTTTCCGATTTGCGGGTGATTCTGGCTGAAAATCAATTGGCACTATATGATAAATGGGGCGGTTCACGCGAACACTGCATTCCTACGCGGTTTCTTAAAATACTTCAATGAGCGAAATTACTACGTCAACATCAAATTATTTTAAAATTGACTATTTTTGTCGTCAAGGGCTCGCATAATAGAATTTGTATTTCTTCAGATGGTATTTTAGAAACGGGAACAGATTCAGCGAATAATTTATATTTATAAAATGTAAGACTTAGTATATTCATGGAAGAATGATGAAAGTATATTCATGGGAGAATGGCCCGTTTATGTTCTGGTAAGTGTTACTTCAACCTGTGTATAATTACATTTTATATGCTGTCAGAACCAACAGCACCTGTGTCACCTTCAGATCCAATATCCATGAATAAAACCTGATGGTATAGTAATTACACACCGCCGCACAGATGGGAAGCTTCAACCGCCTCGTTTATCGATCCCCATGTTATGTACCTTTCCAACAGATACGATATCTAACCCAGCGTCGTGCTCACTGCATCTCAAAATTCAACCTCCCCCACACCCCCTGCCGTCTCCATCAACCCGTGAAAAGACACGCGGCCTCAAATGTCCGTTGCCATGGTCACGGGTGGAGGAAGGACCTACAGTATGCGCGTTGTCCGACAGGTAGTTTTAAAATGAGGTAGTGGCGAACCTGTCGGGTGTCATATTTCATTTCACCAAGCAGTTACTCGTGATGGCGGTGTTCCACCTGTCCCTTAGCGTAACGACAGTGCCGATCATTGTTGATGGTGGCAAGAACCGAAGCAGACTGGATTGGATTATGAGCGTCAACGATTGAGTGTTTGTCACAAGCACAAAGCCACTGTGCACAGGCCCCAGCATATCTCGGCGACCGACACGAGCTTGTATACGACTGGGGTATATACTTGTGACGTCACTGATGATCCTACAGCCATGTATAAGCGCAAAGGGAAACAGTGTTTTCTAGCAGGTAAGAAACATGATTGTATTCTTATTCATTCTTTTTGTCGTGAGACGGGGTATATTTTTTCCTGTTCTCGCGAGAGCCAGTCAGCTTCTTGTTTGTTCAAGCTGAAGGAGCAGGTCAATGCAGCAGGTCGTGACTGTCACGTGGACGATGTTTTATCAGCTGCTTTGTACGTGACTCCCCTTAAACAACTGCCCATCAACATTGTCATGACTCACCTGAAAAACAAAACAATACACGCTTCGGAAGATTGACGTTTCGGTGTCGGTCACTGACTTCACCGATGATTGTCATCACTACCCTTGTGTGTACATACAGGCTTCTCTGCACCAGTATAACAATATCTACCCTACTGTATAAACATTGCCTCCTACCTGTACATATACTTGTCAACCACACTCTGTGTAGTGTAGTGCTCAGAAAACCACTAGCCAAACCTAAAATCCTACACCCCTCAAAAAAAATTGACAGATTAATTACAAAACTCCAAACAGGACACACGAACCTAAATAACCACCTAAAACAACTTAAAAGACACACCACAGGCAACTGCCCCCACTGCAAACAACCCGAAACCACAGAACACGCACTCATCCACTGCACCCACTACCAAACACACAGAACCACACTACAAACCAACCTCAATCTAAATAAGGTTCCTACTCTAGATGAAATACTAAACCCTCAAAATAAACTAGAAAACTTCAAGGCCCTAGGCGTATTCCTAATCAAAACAGGCCTAATCAAGCGCATCTAAAAACTAATTAATCTACCAATCCAAAATCCAATAAACATACATACACCCACCTCACCCAGCTCCCTTAGTTCCCTCCTCCACCCACCTCGGCATTGATTCCAAATTTTTAAATTTCAAAAAATTGATATAAGCAACCCCTAAAAGCCCCCTCTTGTGTTGCACACACCACTTTCACCCTTCTCGGAATACACTTAATGGTCTGGCCAGGCCCGTGTGCGAAATACGCTGCAGTCGGAAAGCGCACGTTAAATCTTCTTTATCATTCAGACTCTGTGTATCACTTGCTTGATAACGGTGTCAGAACCTACACCGAAAGGTCGCTCTTAATTGTAATAAAGAAGTTTTTCATCCATAAATTCTTATCCTTACTCACACAAGGCCACTGTTATAATTTGTATAAACATATTCTCTGAAATGAGGATGATTTTAGGTAACTGTATTGACCTCCATCGCGGTGTACATAATAATGTCTTGCTAGTCAACTTATTTATGTCATAGCTTGTGAATGGGAAAGTTCGGTGTGGCAGAGGATCTCCTTTTTTAAATATTTGTAGGAAGAAGGCCTAGGTAAAGCTTCGTGGTTTAATTGTATAATCCCGCCCTTCAACGTCGGCATCGGCTCTGTACACAACTTATGTATCACTGCAAACACAACGTTCGTCCCAGTTTATTGATCTAGGTCGACACAGGACGCGGAACTCCATGCTAGTGACAGGCGCCGGCTAAAATGTAATCGCGTTGTAACAATGTATCACCTGGAGAAGCAACAATGCCTGTCATTGTGATCTGATGGAGTTGATAGTTGCTCGTAGTATCAACCACTGGTTTCCAATAGAGATGGGTTTTTTTCTATTGCGTAAATCCACAAATCCAGGTACACTGTGGCTTTTAACAGGAACTGACTTACGGTAGTGTCGCTGCGCTGGACAGTCGATGTCATACATAGTTGAAGGGACACTGGGGTGGCCCAATGGTTAAAGCGATCGATCATCACTTCGAAGGCCCGGTTTCGATTCCCCTCATGGTACAATGTGTGAAGTCGATTTCTAGTGTCCCCAGCCGTGATATTTCTAGTTCTGACGTGACCCGTTTTGCGGCAGCGAGAACTTATAATTAGATCTGATTTTGATGAGATTGCCCGAGTGATCCTGCTAAAACTTATACCGGTAGTAACCCTAACCCCCATGGTTATACAGAGTTCTACAGACTGAACAAAGTCTTCTTGGTAAACCAGAAAGAGGGCATGGTGAACGTTTGGGAAATGTCACGAGCAATGTGGAGTACTATGATACGTTCCCGCCTATCAGATAAGGGATTCTAGCGACCTCAAATTACCTGCGCTGAAGGGGCCGTAGATACCACGACACCGACGCACTAGGTGACCCTACGCCCGCCGATATCCGGTTGTCGCGGACGATAACAATCCATCCCTGGACGCCCTCGATCAGCTGTGCGGTTACCTCTCATTCTGCCTCCAGCTCACTCTACCTTCCTTTTATCGTCACTTTATACGTTAAAGTAGGGGATTATATAGTTCCACATGACTGAATTCCTACTGAACGCCGTCTTTACCTTCCCATAATAGACTCGTCGTTTTAACCCACATTATAAAGAGTAGTATACAGAGAAATGTGAACATACATCAGCCTGTCTTGATACGTAACATACACGAGAACTAGCTTCTGACATATGCTGAAGTTAAATTTAATTTGAATTGGGGCTTGACTTATTTTACGTCAATATGATTAATATGAACCCAAGTGTATTTATGATGTGGTATCATGTATATGATAATGATGTTATGTTATCATTAATGAATTATGATGAATGCAATACAAATGACAGACACAATTTGTAACGTATTATGTCACTGACACTTTTCCTGGAAACTGGAGATTTACATAGTTTGGGGGTCAAACGTTGTTAGCATTTTAGCTTGTGTCAGTGCCCGTTATGGTGTTTTAAGTGTGGAACATGAGGACGGTCTGCAACAATTGTTGCATGTGTTAAACAGTTGGTGTGTAATCTCCAACTGTACGCTTTATAACGCCCTCTGTACGACCATTTGATATTCCAGGGATTTTGTTTTCAGCTTCAGCTGCAAAACCAGATATTATTTAATTTTGCATAAGACAGTGAGCCTAAATATTTCTTTCTAAAGTTTATTTTCAATGTATCCTACTGACATTTACAAGGTACATTTCTTATGTCCCTCTCGAATTGCCGAACTGTTGTCATCACATTTACAACATACCAACCACAATTTTTTATCCCGATTTAATGATGTAAGACTCCATTCTTACGGATATATGCGATATTTTCTGCATGAACTAGATCTAGGAAAATAAAATATGTCTTTCTAAAAAACACATTGCAGCAATCAGAGACCATATTCGGTATATGGTCTCTGCAGCAATGTATTATCTGTGGCCGGCAATGTCTTTTTCCCCAAAAGAGTAATTATTTTGTCAATAGATTTCGGGGACAATATTTCTTTTTCGATACCTCCACACACCCACACCAGAATTTCAAATTGTGGGCCTGTAAAAAGGTGATGGGTGTGTGTGATGGTTATACATATCGTAGTCTGTTTCTAAATGGGTATTAAAACTCAGTAAAATCGGCTAATTACAGCCCTTTTGTCCTTGGTTTTTAAATCTAAGACAATGGGAGCCTGTTTAAGGTGTAGGACACGATGCTTTGGCCTATTTCAGATGACGTTGCAGCAGCCTGGGTTTGAACGATGTCTCTAGTGTTACCGCGGTCAATAAGCATGGAATGTAGCGATTATGGGTGAGGTAGTGAGGTAGGGTGCCCTTGTGCGCACTTATGTCTGTGTACATGTATAATTTAAGGGTTGATGTGGGGAAGGGCTTTTTGGTGATTGTATACAAATATGTACCTATCTTGCTTTTATGCATGAAATGACCTGTAAAATAATAAATTCTTACATTATCCTGTGTGTGATAGTATTTCGAGTGCCTCGCATGGTCCGTATTTTTCTGTTAACTGTGTATGTATGTATGTATGTATGTATGCATGCATCATTTATGTACACCATCTGTGACATCTCTTTATAAACACTCAGTCATCATTGTTAGACGGCGGATGTCAAATAGCGCTTCTCGTATAGATATGACGGGGTTTAATTGTGCGAACGATTTTGCCTTGACCTCAAAAAGATGTAATTGGAAATTCAGGATTTATTAAATGCTCATTCTACACTATTTTACAAGCCGTGATGATTGTGTAGTTCAGCAAACGCTGTCTTAAGATTTTATTATATAAAATGTTTGAATGTTTTAAAGAAGAATGGAACAAGAATTTGCACAGAGAAAAAATAAATAGAGAGGGTAAAAATAAATTACGTACTTTTTGAATTAGATTATTGTACTGAATTTTATACGAATTGTAAACTGACCAGAAGCCAGAGAAGCGCATTGGGAAAGTGGGATGGCTCCTCTTCGCATTTTAACTGGTAGATTTAAGAACATCGCAGCCCATCTTTGTTTTTGTTGTAATTGTGTATTGTTGCAGTGTAGTGTTGAAAAAGAATGTTTTGTTGTCATGTCCATTGAATACTCTAGTAGGACAGATGCGTGAATGTCATACAGCAAATGGAATAACCTTTATTATTTATCTGAAGTTGAGCAAATGTATTTGAAATTTACTGATTTTACCCTCCATCATTGCCAGAACCTGCATTAATACTTTAGAATACACGCGCAGCCTTCAATATAAATGATAATATTTAAATGTTTATACGATGTTTATATATATTTGAACTTATTATATCGTCTCTATTAATCCGCTTGGCGGTTGGTCTTACATGTTACACGTTTTATCCCGTCTTGTATTTTAATCAATTTGAGAGCGAGACACAATAAACTATTCTGTCTGTCACTTAAGCTTAAGATCTACAGCTAGTTTATATATGACAGTGATCCAGTGCCCTTGCTTGTCTGAACAACAGTGGAATCCGATTGAAAAGTAAATTGCATTGAAATACTGGCAGTTAATTGATGTGGTTGGTTTACTAAAAGGTAATGGACAGATATACGGATTTTCTCCTGAACAAAGTCAGCACGTTGACACATGGAGAGCCGAGATCTCGTAAGTTTGTTGTACAGGGAAAATATTAGTATTTATTCTGTATTAAAATTGAAAGTAACGCAAAGAACAGGGAATGTGTGTAATCCTGAATTATACACGAGGGTACACATTTTCTAAAATGCAGACATTCGAATTATTTTCATTTACGTAGGTTATTCAGCACTTCCTGGAAGCCGATATGGAAACGAAACCAAAGTCAATATCGAACTCTCTTGACAATGTAACAGACTTAACAGACGGAATTTCACGTTCAGTCCGAGAAAAAAGCTCGTTCTACGGGATTGTAGGAACAGTCAATATCATAGTCTGTCATACAGGCGCTTATTCAATTATATCCAATACAGCCGATGCAAGTCTATAATGTTTGGCAAGTCTTGATTACGTTGGTATCTGAAACTGAAGAGAGTCTCCGGGCTCCTTTCTATTATAGTTTTATTGAGGTAATTTAACAACTGTTTTTTGTCTGTACGATATGTTCATTTCTGAGACTAAATGAAGAGAGTCTCTGCGCTCCTTTTTATTATATTTTTATTAAGATAATTTAACAACTGTTCTCTGTATTCTGTAAGATAAGTTCATTTCAGAGACTAGATGTTAGTCTATCTATATCACTACAAAGGGAGCTAGGGTCAAACTGATATGTGGAGAAATAAACTAAACGAACACGATGACGTCACGTGAATAGTGATTGAGTTGTGTTTAACGCCGCTTTTAACAGTATTCCAGTTATATCACGGCGTATCAGCTTAATGTGGGAGGAAAGCCCGAAGTGATGCAGGTCTCAGACATTTACCACTTCGGTGAAACCAACGAGCACGGGTATGGTGCTGACAAACCTAGAAACATAATCGGGACGAACCGGGATTCGAACCCACAATCACAGGTTTCTGGCGTGCTCAAGGGACGCAACTCTGCGCAGCGAATTGCGGCGCCTTAGACGACTGGGCCACCCGTCCCCCCTCACGTGAATAGCTTATGGCACCTTCACGCAATCTTGATATTAAACACACTAACTGCTCAAAGCCATAAAGTGACACGTTTGGTTGTGGACGTGTAGCCTGTCAACCTTTTTGGTTTTGCCATGGTCTCCCACTCTGAAAGTATGTTACTTAATAAACGTGACAAATGCCGGTCCAGACTCGCAACCACGTGACCAGGAAATCAGCCGGTGGAAAACTGCACCCTTGTTTTGTCATACCTGACGCATGAATGTCGGATTCTGATTGGCTGAGGCGCATTCGATTATTTTCATTGTACCCTACTAATATGTAATGGAAACATCACCTATGTTCCTCTCTCGAAAAGCCGAACTGTTGGCATCACATTTGCAACATACCAATTGCAAACCTACGTAATCGCAAAATATCTCGAATAAACGAAGTAAGGCTGCATTCTCCGGAGATATACGGTATTTCCCGAGTCAAATAGATCTAGGGGAATAATTCTAAGTTTGCATTGTGACGTCTGCCGTTCTGACGTGGCCCGTTATGAGATGTTCGTAGATCTTAGTTCAGCAGTAGCAAGAAATATGATCAGATTTTAGTCAGATTGACCGCGTGACCGCTTAAAACACACAGTGTTTTTTTCACGTGAAGTATCTTCAGACAGGAGACTTGGTTCTAAACGTGCCTCTGTTCACCAAGTAGTGAATGGGTACCCGGTAGGATGAGATGGTAATGTGTAAACAATTTTGTTGCCTCATGCAGCAGCTTAGTTTGTATACTCCCCAGGGAGATGAAATTGGCGTTTTAGCGCATACTGATTCTCTGACCGGGGAAATATTAATGTAGCGCAATAAGTAGTCACTTGGTGCACGGAATCTTAGGCATATAAATTGAAGTACTGCTATTATTGCTTGAGAAAAACTGAAAATCCCATATAAATAGTGTATTAGCGGAAAATACTACGACATTGCAGAAATATAAAATACATCCCTGTGATTGTGCGTTGTGTATAAAACTAAAACAACCATAGCGTGTTTTGAATGACATCAATATTTGGATTTGTGAGCAGACAATATGGGTCACATGACGGGATGCGCGCAGATGGCACCACTCATTATCATTTATGGAATACGTGCAATGAATGCCATGTTTAACCACCATGTCACGGTCAGTGCTTTTCAATATGTAACAGCAGCTTGTAAATATCGATTTTAGGAAAGTATGATAAAAAATGAAATAGCACAACGGCAAAGCGTCCTCGGTTCTTGCAACTGCGTCCCGGGGCCCGGGATTCGAACCCTGACCGCGTCATACCAAAAGATGGTACTTGTTGTTTCCCTGACTGGCGCTCGGCTTTAAAGGGATAAAACAAGGACTGGTCGGCTCGGAGTTAGTATACTGTGTCTGAGTGGGGTATTCATGTTACACTGCGGCATGGTATCTCAGTGGGCTAGGACTATAAAACCGGCATTAGTCTGACCTGGTACAATCAGCCACACACACGTGCATGTGTATTAATCTTCAACGCGACATTACACCCCATTTCACCACCACATCAAAGCGTCTTCGTGTGTTAACTATAATAGTTCAGGGCAAAAAGATACTTTATTACACAACACAAGGGGGGGTATGCTGCACCTTCATTAAACAACACCATAAGCATGAAACAAACACTTATGGGTGTCAGTGTTATATGAAAGACAATGAAACATGAATGATTTAGTCAGTGTTTGGTGTTTCGTCACCGACACTCCAGCATTATCACGGCATCCCGTCAGATCAGCACTGGACCCAGCAAACCAGTGCTTGATTCTACGAGCAACAAGCAAAGACTACGGTCAACTTGTTCCCAGAATAATTGGATATTGGGGGTCTAGCATAGGTTGGTGTTTCTACCATCAAATTGAGAGAAACCAATAGGGATTCCAGGGTAGAAATCATTGTTTGTTTGTTTGTTGTTTAAAATTCGGATTCAGCAATATTCCAACTATATAATGGCGGTCTGGACTAGACAATCCAGTGAGCGATGTCATGAGCAACGATCTACGCAATGGGATACGATGACATGCATCAACCAAATCAGTGAGCCTGACTCCCCGATCCTGTTAGTCACCTCTTACGACAAGCATAGTCGCCTTTTACGGCACGAATGAGTTGCTGAAGACCTATTCTAAACCCGGATCTTCACGGGTCTTAAGTAGAAGCGTGAGCGAGTCGTGTTTTAGGCTGCTTTTACAATTTTCTGCAATCAAGGGAAGGGCGTTACATAATCACGTGAGGAAGCGAACCCCGTCTTTTGCGTGACGAACCAAAGCTTGAAACGTACATTCTCGCTACCTAGCACGCTGGGACGTTTCACCATCCATTGTAAATGCGACTTCTTAAGTAGCTCCGAGGTCGCAAAATCTGAAAAAAATATGAACAAAAATAATAAAACAATAAATTTTATCATACATTCGGATATCATAATATACAAAATCAATTTAAAAACAAATATTCGTGAACGCTACGAGACCGTTGTTGAAAGCGAAGGAATACGCGCTGGTCAAGTTACAAAAACAGTCTCGATTGACGAGTTAAATGAGAAATGTACAATTTATGACGAAACATTTTCAAGAGAATAACAGTGAGTGAGTGAGTATGGTGCTACACCGCTTTTAGCAATATTCCAGCAACATCACGGCGGGGGACACCAGAAATGGCCTTCACACATTGTACCCATGTCGGGAATCGAACCGGGTCTTCGGCGTGACGAGCGAACGCTTTAACCACTAGGCTACCTGACCGCCCCCAAGAGAATAACGAACGGCAAGAAGCGATATTAACCCCATAAATGACCACCTGTCTTTACTTTGCCTTGTCAATTTGGAACTAACATAAAAACGGAAGTGAACAGTTTGTGTCAAGGCCAGACACATGATAAAGGGAGACAATTTGCGGGGAGGTTGCTCTTGTGTTATGTTCATTGCATTGTAAATATCACTTTTCTCAACTTCAGAAAACCAAGTCTTTGACACTGAAGTATATAATAAAAGTGATTTCTTGGTTGAAAGTGAAATATTTCATTCAGGATTTACTCTATTGCATAAATTCCGCATGTTGAAATATTTATCTTTGTACTTTCAGTGTTTATCACGGTGGCTATTTGCCTGGTGATCGGACAAACCATTTTGTTAGTGACACGTCATATTCGATACAGCCGATGTAAGTATTCCACCATCAGCTGTTCCATATTCAATCAATATAGTGACCCATTTCCGTCAATGTTGTCCACATACATCGTCAATACTTCACGGGTTTGTATACACTATGTTCTTCTATCACCCAGGGGGCACGGGTGGCCTAGTCGTCTAAGGCGCCGCGATTCGCTGTGCAGAGTTGCGTCCCTTGGCACGCCAGGAACCTATGATTGTGGGTTCGGATCCCGGTTCACCCCGATTATGTTTCTAGGTTTGTCAGCACCATACCCGTGCTCGTGGGTTTCACCGAAGTTGTAAACGTCTGAGACCTGCATCACTTCGGGCTTTCCTCCCACATTAAGCTGACACGCCGCGATATGACTCGAATACTGTTAATAGCGGCGTTAAACCCAACTCACTCACTCTCCTATCACCCGTGAATACATACTACACTGTACAGCGCTATTTTTAACCAACCAATCAAACCATGGATTGCTTCAAGGAAGAAGGAAACCAGCGAGTGCTCTGATCAATGAGCCATCATGTTACATTACACCAACGGCAATATTTCTCGTGTAACATGTGCTGCGGTCGTTCGGTCTATGCTCAGAGCTGCCGAGTGCGGCGTTCAACAACAACCAAACATCCTTCATGAAATACACCACATACGCAGATTAATCAAAGAGCCAGGCTTCATATGAATCACATGTATAAATGTCAACAGGTGCACTCAAAAGTTTGTTTAAAAGATGAAATATGAAATATGAAATATGCCCCCCTCCCCCCCCCCCCCCCCCCCCCATTTATCTATTATGAGAATGTGGTTAATGATATAACGATTAATTTAATTTGTCCTAAACACACCAGGGTCCGGTACAGGTTTACGTCACTGTGTTTCAGACATGGCACTTGACATAGACTTCACATATTTAATGGAACTGCAAGAAAGGATAAACCCAGGTTTGTGTTGTTTTTTCATTTATTCATGTAGATGAAGGGGCGGTCGGGTAGCCTAGTGGTTAAAGCGTTCGCTCGTCACGCCGAAGACCCGGGTTCGATTCCCGACATGGGTACAATATGTGAAGCCAATTTCTGGTGTCCCCCGCCGTGATATTGCTGGAATATTGCTCAAAGCGGCGTTAAACCAAACTCACTCACTCATGTATGTGAAAGGGCGGTGAGGTAGCCTAGTGGTGAAAGCTTTGATTGCAGGAAAATTGCTAAAAGCGGCCTGAAATGCGACTCGTTCAAGCATTCTATATGAGACCAGTAAAGATCCGGGTATACTTGTCGTAAGATGCGACTAACGGGATTGGGTAGTCAGGCTGCTGACTTGGTTGATGCATGCCATTGTACCCTAATTGCCTAGATCGATGTTCACGATGTCAATCACTGGATTGTCTCGTCCAGACTCGATTATTTACAGACCGCCGTCATATAGCTGGAATATTGCCGAGTGTGGCGTTAAGCAAAACATACCCAACCAACCAAACAAACAAACAAACTTCTGTATGAAAAAGATTGCTTTTCACTAATGCAGCAGAACATTACAGCTGTGTGACGGTGGAAGGTAGATGATTGAGTGAGGTGTTTCAGTTGTATCACGGCATCTCAGTTTGATTGTTTTATCTTATAGGAAGCATCTGAAGCATTAAACTCCCGACTGTGTTAATATATGTTTTGTACATTCATGTAAATGGGTGGTTTAATACTCCCTAACCACACTGACGTGGTTAATAAACACTTGACGTACTTACTAATGCAAACGATGATGTTGCCATTTTGTCCAATCGATATAATGGTATTCTACTATTTGTTATTCCACTAAATAAACACTTTTGTTTCATACATTCCACTGATCGCTGTGTATCCTCCAATCAATTCGGTTCTGTTGTTTAAAATGTCAATTATTTTTGCATTCTGTCTTCCGTGTTTATGGTCTTTTTAGAAATGATCTCTCTCTCCAATGAACATTATCTTTGATTGTTGTCATTTTACAACATTGTTTTATTACTATTTATCTGTTTGATCTAAGCATTCAAAATGTATTCATTTTCAGCACTAGTTGAAACGTTTAAATTTGACGAATTGCTACAAGAATATAAGAACAAGATACAAGGTATGTGTACTTGTTGTCATTGATTATTTGTACAAATCCTAGATATATTACAAGCACATGTGAGTCAAATGCATGCGTACTTCAAACGAAAAACCACGTACGACGTTTGAATGATAGTGCTATGTTTAAATATGTCTTTCTTGTATACAGATGTACGGCAAGCGGGTCTGTGGAGAACAAATCCTGTGTTAAGTTCCTGTGATACCGAGCCAGTTGTTGGTAAGTATATGTAGACCGAAGGAAAGATGGTTAAAGCAGTACCCGACTTACCTGATTCTCTCAAACCGATTCCACGGCCCTATTGTTTACATGGTTGCCAAGCAACTGAAATGAACTTAAAGTAAGGCAGTTCTTGTTAGTTTTCATTGAACAGTTTGTACAATGCAGGTGAGCTACAGAAACATGTCCTTTGATCCCCACGTCCATGAACGAAATCAAAATGCACCAAATTTATCACAACTGTCATTGTATTAAAGCCAGTGAGGACAGATACCGGACACACGAGTACAAACACACATCCTAACGATCAAATCTATCAAATATCCAAATTCCCTGCCTGTGACCGATGCAGTGCTATACAATCCTCATGTTGATGTTGTAATTGATCAGTCGGAGGGTGGCCCAGTCGTCTAAGGCGCCGCGATTCTCTGTGTAGAGTCGCCTCCCCTGGGCACGCCAGAAACCTATGATTGTGGGTTCGAATCCGCGTTCGCCCCGATTATATATGGTGTCAGCCCACATATTGTGGGTTTCACCGAAGTGGTAAACGTCTGAGACCTGCATCACTTCGGGTTTTCCTCCCACATTAAGCTGACACGCTGTGATATAACTGGAATAATGTTAAAACTCACTCACTCCTCAGTGTGACAGACCCTGAAACAATTGTACATGTACCCAATACAGCCCGTGCACGTATATAATAGTGGGCAAGTCTAGGTTACTGCAGTATATTTTATCAAGATAATTCAACAACTGATTTTTTTCCTGCAAAATATGGTCATTTCAAAGACTAGATGCTAATCTATGTTGTAATGTGAATATATATATTTTAAGAGTTATAGAAACTTACATTTGTGGAATATATTTGTCATAAGAGAAATGTTATCCCAGACGGTTCAAAGAACTTGAAAAATAACCATGAATAGCTGATGTGTCCAATGTCCCCGAAAATGTTGTGAAAACATATGTTGTCCGGTTTTATCCAAGAAAACAATCGTTCACTGTATTTGCTGTGCGTTCTGAAACCTAGAGTGTTGCAGGTCCAAAAAGAATGGCTGTCTCCTTCATTGAGAGAACAAATACACTTCTGAAACATTGTGTGTGCAGGTTTGATAAATCCTATGCATTTACCAGACACATTGGTATGTTTTACAGCAAACCCGTGCGTGGATACTCACTGTAGTCAGAGACAACCCGAGGACCTGTCTCAAAGATTGGATCGCCTCATGCAAACAACGAACAATCTAAATGTGACTCTATATCGTCTTCTTTTTGGGCTTTTCGGCGTCCAGAAAACAGGCAAACGTTTAGTTATCGTGACTGGGGCTTCGTCAGACCATTACTATGAATCGCAAGGATTGATACAAAGTGTTCACCAGAACGTGTTTCCAGAACTGGCCAACTTGACTCTGATCTACTATGATCTCGGACTGAAAGACTGGCAGAGGGATGAGGTATTGTGATTGTGATTAGGGTTTGAGTGATCAGGTAATGTTATTGTGATTAGTTTGGATTGATCTGGTAATGTGATTGATTAGGTCTAATTGAGGTGTTGTGATTAGGTTTGCTCGATCGTGTAAAGTGATTAGGTTTGATTGATCAGATAATTTGATTGTGATTTGATGTGGTTGATCAGGTACTGTAGTAGATGAGGTATTGTGATTGATATTAGGGTTTGAATGATCAGGTAATGTGGTTGTGATTAGGTAAAAGTGATAAGGTATTTTTGTTGTCAGATTGGGATTTTCCGCAACTTTGGTACACACCTGCATCGTCGCTTTCTTCCACCACAACGCTGACACACTGCGATATATTTTGCATAGTGGTGCTGAAGCCAACTCATAGACTTCTAAGTCTCAATACGTTTCAGCTACGGAAGCACTGCAGATGCCAGATCCGCACATTCCCCTTTGCGCTGATGCCCGTCAGGCTGCAGAACCTGCAGTGTTACACCTGGAAGGCGTTCATAATTCAGGTGATGCTTGATACGTTCACAGTCAGACAACATACAGTTTTACACCTGGAAAGACTTAATGATTCAGGTGATGCTTGATACGTTCACAGTCAGACAACATACAGTTTTACACCTGGAAAGACTTAATGATTCAGGTGATGCTTGATACGTTCACAGTCAGACAACATACAGTTTTACACCTGGAAAGACTTAATGATTCAGGTGATGCTTGATACGTTCACAGTCAGACAACATACAGTTTTACACCTGGAAAGACTTAATGATTCAGGTGATGCTTCATAAGTTCACAGTCAGACAACCTACATCTGGAAAGTCTTCATAATACAACGCCATGCAATGTTACACCTTTGCTTAGATGTAGAACTAAATATATTGATTTCATTAGCGTCGGCCACAAGAAACTGAACAGGAGAGTATCAAATATGTATCAAAGGTATCAATTGATAAGCATGTGGCTGCCTTATGACCTGGTAACTCGTTTTGTCACTGTATCCAGATAACGCAGATATCATTGCTGTCGCTCTCATCCACGAGCCTTGCCACAAAAAGCAATATTGCAGATCTCAACTTAAAACAATACACTCATGTTTTGGGAGTGACCGAGTCATCGAGGGCACCACAGTTCACATTGCAGAGTTGCTTCCCTTAGGCGTGTCAGAAACCTACGACCATGATTTTGAATCCTGGTTCGTCCTGATTACGTTCCAGGTTTGTCAGCCTGCCCCACTTTGGGTTTTCCTGGCGCGCGTTGACACGTCGTGATAGAACTGAATTACTGTTCAAAGCATTAACCCAACTCACTCACTCACTCCTTCCCCGTCTCGTCTCACAGGCACACATCCGATCAGCTGACGTGATTATCTGGGCTGACGCTGCCGTCCGCTTCCTCAAGTCAAGCATTGGACCACTTCTTCAAGAAGTCGAGACCAAGGGTATTATCATAGAGGACGGGACACCACGCTTCTCAGTAGCCGACCACGCTCAGAGGATCATGTTTGATTACTTTGGTGAAAAGACGTGTCACTACGCTCAAGTAGCAGAGAAACAACCTGGCTTTCTTGTTTTAAAAAATGAACGTTTCGTCAGAGAGGTTATCCTGAAGCCATGGATAGCGTGCGCCATGAGCCCTCACTGTATGTGCCCAGCTCATCCCGAGACACTGATTGTGTGTTACACATACATCCGAAAGTACAACAAATGTCACAGATTTGACCAAGCGGCCATGAATATAATTCTGGCCAAACTGTTTTGGGGACACGATATGACTTTTACCCCAACCAGAAAGTATATTGACATTCGAAAAGAAGACAAAGTGTACTATTTTGATGAACTGGAATCTTGATGCTTTTTAAATGTTAGTCAATTATAAGTAGTCCTATTTAAATATTTCCTTCCGATTGTGATATGCATTATTTTGATAAAGTGAACCCTCGTTATTCTGGACATTCGTTACAGTAAACGTCCAGATAGAGTTTCCGGATTAACAGGTGTGTTCTTTGTACTAGTTTTCATTCCAACCATATCATACAATAAGGATGTTCTATTACCAAAGGGCGCATATAGTTAGCTAAATGCTGTCATACCTTAACACTGTGTTCGAATCGGGGGCACGGGTGGCCCAGTCGTCTAAAGCGCCGCGATTCGCTGTGCGGAGTTGCGTCCCTTGGACATGCCAGAAACCTATGATTGTGGGTTCGAATCCCGGTTCGCCCCGATTATGTTTCTAGGTTTGTCAGCACCATACCCGTGCTCGTGGGTTTCACCGAAGTGGTAAACGTTTGATACCTGTATCACTTCGGGCTTTCCTCCCACATTAAGCTGACACGCCGTGATATAACTGGAATACTGTTAAAAGCGGCGTTAAACCCAACTCACTCACTGTGTTCTCTCTGGGGTATTATACACACACGGTGTTCAAGAACATGAAGTTGCAGAAATACTGCCAAGATGAGTAACACAAACAAATATTAACCAACTTACACGTCGATTTGACGTTGCCACATTTGACTCAGTTATGCAGTATGGCCATGTAACATATGGGCTCATTTTGTTGATAAACCAGGTTCTCATTCGGGCGTTGGGGTAGCCTAGTGTTCCCTCGTCAAGCCAAAGACCAAGGGTTCGATTCCATACATTGGTTCAATGTATGTAGTTCTGTTTTGGTGTCCTCGTGATATTGCTGGAATTTTGCAAAAGCGGCGTAAATCCATACTCACTCACGTTCTCATATCTGACTAATTGAGTTCATATTTTGAGACGCTTCATTAGTTTCTCGAGAAAAGTGGCGACTGTCATAGATATTGCAGGTAAACGTGCTCCTAATGTAGTGGTAGTAACTTAAAACACATGTGAACGACTTGCTTCAACGTAAACGATTGGCCAGTATCTTTGTTTTTTGGGACTGGCTGTCCCTCTTAGGTGAGGTGAGGTGAAATTGGGTTTAACGTCGCGTCCAAGATTATTGCGCTTATATAGCGACGTGCATGCACGTGTACGTGTGTGTGGCTGCTTGTACTAGTCCAGACTGATGCCGATTTATAGTGCCAGCACACTGAGATATCATGCCGCAGTTTAACATGGATATCCCACTCAGACACAGTTTACTGACTCCGAGCCGACCAGTCCTTGTTTTAGCCCATTAATGCCGAGCGCCAGACAGGGTTACAACAAGTACCATCTTTTAACGTCTTTTGGTATGACGCGGCCGGGGATCTAACCCCGGGCCTTCCGCTCTCCGGGCGGACGCTCTGCCACTAGACCACGGAGGCGGTGTTCCTCTTAGAATAAGTTAATTAATAAAATCGTCACTTCACGGGCGTCTATATACACTACGTACCACCATCACCCGTGAATACAACCAGCCGCTTTCCAGTGTCGTGGTCACGCGTGTCTACTTTTCGTTCCGTCATGAAATGGTATTGAGCCCATGCTTTATGCGTGAGAGTCTCTGAAATCCAACACCATGCATGAAATGTTTGCGAAATCAAATCCTGCCATTGCGTGACAGTGTCGAGGACCGCCTCCGTGGTCGAGTCTGCCCGGAGAGTGTAAGGCTGGTGGTTCGATCCCTGGCAGCGCCATGCCAGAAGGTGTTAACAAATTGTACTTGTTGTTACCTTTCCTGGCACTCGGCATTGAGCAGATCAAACAAGGACTGGTCGGTTCGGAGTGTGTATAATGTGTCTGAGTGGATATTTATGTTAAACTGCGGCATGGTATCTCGGTGGGTTAGCACGTAAAACCGGCATTAGTCCGGACTAGTACAATCATGAATGCAGCTATATGAGTGCAGTTATCTTGAATGCGACGTTAAAATCCACCTCAACAACTGAACATATGTGTGTACGAGGGTATTTCACAAAAGGTCTAATTTATATCCGTGTCTGTGTCTGCTGCACTTGTTTCTTCTTCAGACTGTAGAACATTACAAACTGACTTTTCGTGCTTCTTTGACACAAACCTACTTTGTTATGGTCTGGATATTATTTGGATTTGAGTGAGTGCCATCAACAATTTCCAGATATATCACGGTCATAATCGAATCTGGTACTGAGGGATAAACATGATACGGGGGGCGGTGGGTGCACACGGATGGCCCAGTCGTCTAATGCATTGCGATTCGCTGTGCAGAGTTCCGTCCCATTGACACGCCAGAAACCTATGTTTTAGGTTCGAATCCCGGTTCGCCCCGATTATGTTTCTAGATTTGTCAGCACCATACCCGTGCTCGTGGGTTTCACCGAAGTAGTAAACGTCTGAGACCTGCATCACTTCGGGCTTTCCTCCCACATTAAGCTGACACGCCCTGATATTACTGGAATTCTGTTCCAGCTCACTCACACATTGACACAAGGGCATAAATTGTTGACGAGTGCATTTCAGGGATTATAGGCAATATTTTGCACGTTTTGCAAATTGCGAATAAAACGTTTTCATTGAAACATGATTACGATTTTTTTATTACCCTTATGGGAACGGAGATGCAGGGTAGTATTTTTTCTGTCGCCTAATGCCGATTGGCTGTTTTAAAAAAGCCTGTAATTCCATTGGTTAATGACGCATTGCCGTAACTACATTTTCCCATTCATCAGGGTCAGTCATCTTTTTACACAAACACATCTCTGCCATACGAGACTTGTCATTTACAACATAAGGCCTTCCAAAAACTGTCTGTTTTATTCATTCAAATAAAAATTTCGTTCACACATGTTGTTTACGATTATGGAATACACGAAACATAAAAGCTAGTTAAGATTTGTAAGTACAATATATTTAATGGAATAAATCGTGAACGATCTTGTGATAAATTGACGGAAAATTGGCTGGAAGAGTAGTGAACATAATGCAGCCATTGAACAGTTTCAACGTCTTTGTGAACATAATGCAGCCATTGAACAGTTTCAACGTCTTTGTGAACATAATGCAGCCATTGAACAGTTTCAACGTCTTTGTGAACATAATGCAGCCATTGAACAGTTTCAACGTCTTTGTGAACATAATGCAGCCATTGAACAGTTTCAACGTCTTTGTGAACATAATGCAGCCATTGAACAGTTTCAACGTCTTTGTGAACATAATGCAGCCATTGAACAGTTTCAACGTCTTTGTGAACATAATGCAGCCATTGAACAGTTTCAACGTCTTTGTGAACATAATGCAGCCATTGAACAGTTTCAACGTCTTTGTGAACATAATACAGCCATTGAACAGTTTCAACGTCTTTGTGAACATAATGCAGCCATTGAACAGTTTCAACGTCTTTGTGAACATAATGCAGCCATTGAACAGTTTCAACGTCTTTGTGAACATAATGCAGCCATTGAACAGTTTCAACGTCTTTGTGAACATAATACAGCCATTGAACAGTTTCAACGTCTTTGTGAACATAATGCAGCCATTGAACAGTTTCAACGTCTTTGTGAACATAATACAGCCATTGAACAGTTTCAACGTCTTTGTGAACATAATGCAGCCATTGAACAGTTTCAACGTCTTTGTGGTCAAAACTTACATGGGTGAGCGACAAGTCCCTCGTTTTAGACTATGCGTGATTCCTGAAACCGTGACTTTTATGTCTGCCACGCCCCAACATTTTGGTCTAAATCAATCATTTTTGGATGAATTGATGGGTAATGATTTCTTGGATGGCCCGAATAACACCCCTGATGTTCCAAAAAAGCAGAAACCTTTGTTTATTGTACATGATGGCGACATTGACAAATGTCTGGCAGAAAATGAAAATACAAACACTATACAAAAACTATGCTCAGCATGCGAGTTGTCAAAGTTTCTTTCAGAAAAACAGAATGAAGTTATCCCACCCACTGAACTTAACACGATCATGTGCAAGTTTTCCACTGGCGTTAGGAAACAGGATTGTTCCGAGTACGAACCAAGCTCACTCATTGGATTCAAGGGCAGTTTAGTTTACTTAAAACGCAAAGATTATGGCTTCTGACTATCCGATTCAATTGAATTTTTCAAAATGAGCGATGTCATTACGTCAAAAACAAAAACACTGAAAAAACAGGGAAAGGGAACTTACCTTACTGAGCGGAAGCTATTTCCAACAGTGAATAAAACAACTCTGAGATGCAAGCCAGCTTGGCACTAACACGCCTGAATCCATATTAAACACTCTGTGGTGGAACAATATATTTTTTTCGATCTACGGTCAATAACTCCTCACAGAAGAATGACTTGGGGGGATGTTCAGTACGAACGGGACTCTGATGATCATAAATTAAACGAGTATGTCGAACGGCAATCCAAAACCAGAACCGGAGACGACCCCACGGTGTTCGTGCTGTGACACCCAGTCCTGGGCCCACCCCGACGACCCAGCATGTCCAGTCAACGCGACTAAAGACCCAGCATCTGTTCGGGAAGGGAACATCCATTCTATCTCGCCATAAACACGGGAGGGCGTCCCTAATCTGTCGCATCATGGTTCAAAAGGCAGCCAGTTGGAAAAAAACTAATAAAAAACATGGCTTCCAACGCCAACCTTTCATCCGACAAACGCATTAGTAATCACAGCGCTAGGAAACACATGATACAATCACTGTCCAGCGAGGGCATTCCAGCCCACCAGATAATGCAAGTGTCTGGGCACACCCCAAAAATATACATTCTATAACCACGTGTTCATGAATTACTGAAGATCAACACCGTGGTATCTCCAACATTTTGTCCAATACCCGTGCACGCAGTGACTGGTATAAAAGCACTTTCGGGTTCCTCGAAGCCTCAGTCAAATCAGTGGCATGCAACCGTTGGAACATCTACCAAATTCCATGTCGTTCCTGTATCCGCCTCGGTACAAAAACACGATGTTGTGATTTCTTCTCACTCGCAGCACGCCACTATGGATATGATCCACTGCCTGTTTTCTGGCCCGGCCTACGACAGCGTATCAATGTAAATGTTTGCAAGCTTGCTGAGCCGGACGTTGGATCCACTGCCCCCGTTGTCGACATCTCTTCGGACTCTTGCGACAGTGTTCTTGGTTAATGGACATGTGACTGTTGTTTCAAAATGTAAGGCAAATGCTCACTTGAAAGAGTCTGTCAAATACACCTTACTTGTAGAATCAGTTTACACAGTTTGTTTGTTGTTAAGAATGTTTTAGTTTTCATTTCGTAAAGCGATTGACGGCCGAAAGAAACTGGCGAATAGTTTGAAATTTGTATTTACAATAATGCCAAGTCA